CGGCTGCACCGTTTTATTATACATCCATGGCTGCACCTGCTGGCTGCTGCTAGAATAACAGCGTTTCCGGTTGTGATTTCAAAATAAAAGCTTGAATGAACTTTTCTTTCAGACGTATAAATAAATGAATGAATGAATACAAAAATAAATGAATGAATGAATAAATACATGAATACATAAATAAATAAATAAATAAATGCAATTAAATACAAATGATAAAATAATCAATATGTGACAGTAGAAATGTAACTGCTTATTAATTTTATTATGTGAAATTGGTAAAAGTTACCTTGTAAATGTATTCTTATGAAGATAATTACCATATTTATTACCCAAAATACAAAATAAAGCCTGGATGACTTGCTTTCTTGTTGGAATTTTCAAAATAAAAGGATTTCTAGTTGTGCGTTTTATAATAAATACAAACAATATAGTAGTAAGTAATGTTTTTAACTTCAGCAGAACTAATGCATTTTAAATAAAAGTAAAATAAAAAGTGCTGTTTATTTTTTTGGTGCTGATTATCGTCTCAGCCACTATAGAGAGCAGTCAGTTTTACATGTTCATAAATATTTCTGTTTTTATTCACTGTAGATCTCTGCTTCGACGAATATACGAAATAAAAGTCTGGGTGACTTGCTTTTCTTGTTGGAAATTCAACATAAAGCCTCCAATAAGTCCAACAAGCAATTCTAGATCGCTTTTTATTATAAATATAAAAAAGTGTGTTTAACTTCCTTGTTCATTCTCAAAAAAGCCTTGCAGCCTCTTTTCTGTGTACTGGTTTCATAAAAGGATAAATAAAACAAATGTACACAGGTTTTGTTTTAAGACACGTCCTGTAGTGTCTCGTAATTAACATTAGAATATGTTTTTTACTCCAAACCATATTTTTGTTTTTAGCCTGTTTTGTTGAACAGTTCACGTTAACATTGTTTTGTTTATGCCTCGTTATTAGACTTCATTACCTTTGCAGCAGTGGTCTATGTATGTGTCTTTAATGTATTTTAATGACTGAAAACCAAGTGTTAGATTACATTTAAGTACAGAACAACCCAAACCCCTTTGATTCATGAGAAGAGTTACCTGAGCAGTTTTATAACCAGAAATGAACTTTGATGTAAGCGCGTGTTTATCGTTATCAAACAATAACAAGTTTAATTAAGAACAAAGTCCAGTGCTGCTCCTCTTCCAGGAAAGCTTGATAACCCCCTGTGAAGCTGACAAGTGAGCGGCCCGACCAAAGTAATGAGGCAGAGACAGAACGTCAAAATACAACCCAGTGTGGGAATTTATTAATCTTATGTACACGATTAAAACCATTCCATAAAACAGGTTTTAAATGCCACACAAGCTCTTTCATCTTTTATATAAATCAAATGCTTCCTCTGTGAAATCATATTCTACCGTGGTACAAAATGAATATGGCTTCGCCAATACAGAAGCTATATAATATGTAACGGAGACTGAGATCTACGGCCCCAGAGATCACCTCAGTTACATTCCTCACCCCTCTCCCTCGGAAGCAGGAAGTGTCAGTCTTGACTTCGGGACAATACCAGTCAGCTACCATGTTTGACTTCCCTGTCATGTACTTAACCGTAACGTTGTATGGCTGCAAGGCAAGGTACCACCCCGCAATACCATGTTTATGTCCTTCATCTTGTGAAGCCACTGGAGCGCACGATGGTCTGTCTCCAGGATGAACTTCCGTCCAAGAAGGTAGTACCTCAGGGGGTCGAAGGCCAACTTCAGCTTGGATACAATGGAGGACCTGTTGTAGGTGGTCCCCTGTGTTCTTCCCAGGTTTGGCTGAAGATCACCCACATCGTCCAGGTAAGGCTGCTGAAAATGTTGCAAACTCCCGCAGTACTTGGTCCATGAGCCTCTGGAAGGTTGCAGGTGCACCATGCAGTCCAAATGGCATTACCCGGAACTGGAACAGTCCAAAAGGTGTGGTAAAGGCCATCAGCATCTTGGCCTCAGGTGCCAATGCCACCTGCCAATACCACTTGGTGAGGTCCAATGTGGTGATGAACTTTGCTCTTCCCACTCTATTCCAGCAGCTCGTCGATTCTTGGCATTGGGTATGGGGTCACACTTTGAAATGCTGTTGAGATACCTGAAGTCAATACAGAATCGTAAGGAGCCATCTTTCTTTGGTACAAGCACAACTGGGCTGCACCACTCACTGGTTGACACTTCGATGATCCCCAGCTCTAATATCAGCTTTATCTCCTTCTTCAGGGGCCGGCACCAACCGCTCAGGGATACGCTACCCCGGCTGGGAGCAGTCTCTTTGAGGTAGAGTAGTTGTGCTGGACCACATTGGTGAAACCAGGCTGCTCTTGGAAAAGCTCTGGGTCAATTTAGCGTTGATCTCCTCTTGCTGGACCGATGTGAGATAAGTCACATCCAATGGACCTGGTTCAGTTAGTTCTGCTCCTCCACCTCCTCTTCCTCCACTGGCTGTATGAAAAAGTATTGTGACACTGCCATTTAGCCAGCAGCTTGCTCTCACTGGAAGGTATCAGCAACAGCACTTTATGGCCGGGTTGAAACACTCTTCTCTGCTTTCTGGTCATGCAGGTTTTCTGACTATTTTGGGAATTGGTCAGGTTCTCCTTGGCTAGGGCTCTCATCTTCTCCAAACGCTCCCTCATCTTGACCACGTAGGACACAATGTTCTCACCAGCAGCCTTCGGATTATCCCAGTGGCCTTTAGCAAATCCAGGGGGTCCCTCACCTGGCGTCCATACAAAGTTCAAAAGCTGAGAACCCGGTTGAAGATTGTGGCACCTCCCGGTAGGCGAAGAGGAGGGATGCCAACCACTGGTCCCAGTCGGAGCCTGTCTCTGAAGAAAACTTGCGGAGCGTGCTCTTCAAGGTCTGGTTGTATCGCTCAACAAGTCCGTCCGTTTGGGGATGATAAGGGGTGGTCTTAATGCCCTTTACTCCTAGCAGCTGGTACACCTGTTTCAGTAACTTGGAGAGGAAGTTTGTGGCGCAGTCAGCGAGTATCTCTCTGGCTACGCCTACCCTAGAGAACAACTGTACTAGGCAATTTGCCACATACCTGGCCTTAACAGATCTCAAGGGAAACACTTGAGGGTAGCGAGTAGCATAGTCACAAATTACAAGAATGTAGCGGTTACCAGATGCACTTCTCTCTAAAGGCCCAACTACATCCATACCTATCCTTCCAAAAGGTGTTTCAATGAGGGGGCAATGGCTGTGTCCCTGCGCTTCTGGGCTTTGGACAGGCGCTGCTTGTGTGTACTTGCCTTTAGCTCAGAGTTATAAAATAGTAGCTCACTAAGGCCCCGGCTCCACGAGGACGAAAACTGGTTGAATCCGCATATTTCTCATGCGTATAGCCCTCTAAGCTCCACGACGCCGTAAGGAAAACGTAGAAACAGACCCCGCAAACGACAACGGGTCCAAAGGTGGATAGATCTGGGAACAGAGCGCTCTGGGGGGTCCAACGGGGCCGTGGAGTCGCCTATACGGTCATTCGTTTTCATAGCCCCGCCTCTCCCCCGCAGGGTTGCTATCGTGCTCCAGTCGCTACTGACCATGCTACAGTTCTTTGTGCAACATCTACAGGAGCTCCTCCTTGAATTCAGATTATTTATCTTTATCTCGATATGGACATAAACGCGAGTGAAGTCTAATCTGACAGGACGGAGACACGCAGCTCCTGCCGCTGTGATGCAGCGGGAGCAAAACACACACTTCAAGTCAGATCATCACCCTTAGCTATTTTAATTACCTCTCAAACTACCTAAACTAGTTATAAATATGTTCATTTTTACTGTCGGGTCACTCATTACAGGATCAGCTGCTGCATGAGACAGACACTGACGCTGTGAGAAGAGAGGAAAAAGAGACAGGCTCCGTGTATTTGATGATTATATATCATGATATCGTCGTTATCATTTGTTTTAAAGCTCAATAAATAACAATGAAGACCTTTGACCGGCACTTTTATAATTTTGTCCGGAAGATTTTTAAACTTTAATACACGTTGACCGGCGAAAAACTCTGCGCGGATCCCTCGGCCCCCACCCATGGAATAAACAGAAGGGCAGCCATGACAACCATTCTTCTTCGCTGCTTTTGTGGAGGAAGTTGCTGCTTTTGTGGAGGAAGTTACAGCACCACGTACAGGTTCGGCATATGTACTGCAGCTCTTCCAGCGTTTGGATGTAAACGGAGCCGTCTCGTGGAGCTTGACACAATCCGGTTGTATATTGCGTGGGGACGGAAGGTTTTTTTGCGGTTGGCATTTGCGTTACTCCGATGCGTTTTGCCGTATTTGTCCTCGTGGAGCCGGGGCCTAAGGGTCTCCTTTGTCGTTTGCGCCCTTGTAGCGGCATTACACACTCTTAATCTGGCTGTCTGAGCTTACCTCTAACTCAACATCACAGGGTTCTGACTCCCCGGGCACTTCTACACACTCAGAATCAGAGGGAATAACTGGTGTAGGAGCGGATAGGGCACTTGTGGTTGTTCTTGCAACGTTGGAAAATCAAGGCCTAAAATGACTGAATAGGGAAGCTTGTGTGGTAGTGCCACAGGAAGAAAGATAGTCTGACAGTCAATTGACCTCGGCGGTGGGGTAAGGCTTTTCATCTCTGTGGATTGCAACTGATGGTAGCTTTATCATGAGCCCATTGATCCTTGACAACAAGACTTGAACTCAGAACTGTCTGAAAAACTGCCACTATCCACAAGTGCTTCCTCACACTGACCATTGATGAGTACCGGAACTATACGTGCTTTCCCCTGCCTAACCACTGATTGCCTGGTGGGGATGTGAACAGTGTAAATGAGGGAGGGCTTGCTCTGCCTAGCCACTGGGCATGTGTATTGTGTGTGGCCAAACTCATTACACTGGTAGCACCTTACTTCTGGCTGAGCTTGCTTCTTAGCATAAGTTGACTGACTTGGCGTGTTACAGAACAACTCAGTCATTTGTATAACTGTGAAGGGTTAGGGTAAGGTTCTACCTTTAAAGAGACATGGGCTCCATTGTAAACACATGTTATACACACCTTATCTTACTCATGCAATTAGAATCTAATAAGGATCAAAGTTCAGTGCTGCTCCTCTTCCAGGACTCTCCTAAAGTTTGAAACACATTTGTCTTACGGGGCTTTACAAACTATACAGCATACAATCTGTCCTGAGACCCTTGCAGCCAACAAGTAACACCCCAAAATAAACCCAACAACAACAAGGCATGCACTAAATCAAATTAAAACATATACCATCCATATAACAAAAATGACTGGATCTGCTGAGGTGACTACTTCGCAGTTCTTGAACAGGTCTACAGATTTAGTTGTGCGAATACACAGTAGGAAGTAGAATTTAAACAAATGAAGCCATTGTTTTGTTTCTCTGTAAAAGTCCCAAAACTCTGCTGAAAACCCTTTAAAGCCTGACTCGTGTGAGCTGGCGGTCAAAGGTCGAAGTACGGCTTTGCTAACGGCATGTTGTAAAGGACAGAAAACACACCCTGCCTCTCATAAAGTTCAGCTGATTCCTCACTCACTGCTGCAGGGGAACCAGAGCAGACGGAGAACACATTGGTTCTGTTCAGAGAAAAGTATTAACAGTCATTAACACTGAGAGGTGAAATGGCGCAGCGAGGAAATCAGATCAACCAAGAAATAATCTGCTGTACGATCTGTCTGGATCTACTGAAGCACCCGGTGACTATTCCCTGTGGACACAGCTACTGTATGGACTGTATTCTAAGCTTCTGGCATGGAAAGGTAATCTACAGCTGCCCTGTGTGTAGAAAGAGCTTCACACTGAGGCCTGTCCTGCTGAAAAACACCATGTTAGCAGCTTTAGTGGAGGAGCTGAAGAAGACTAGACTTGGCAAAGCTCCTGCTGATCACTGCTATGCTGGAGCTGAAGATGTCTGCACTGGGAGAAAACTGAGAGCCTGTAAGTCCTGTCTGCAGTGTCTGATCTCTTACTGTGAGAAACACCTCCAGCCTCATTATGAGTCTCCCTGCCTTTCAGGGGACTGAAGTGGATGTTTTACTGCCACAACCAGAGCCCAGGACCAGAGCTGGATTCTTAAAATATTCACGTGAAAATCACTCTGGATCCAAACACAGCACACATACAACTGTTATTATCTGAGGGGAACAGGAAAGCAACACTCACGGAAACAACAACAGTATTATTCTAGTCATCCAGACAGATTCACTGTATGGTCTCAGGTCCTGAGTAGAGAGAGTCTGACTGGACGTTGTTACTGGGAGGTGGAGCGGAGAGGGGGAAGAGTTTCTGTAGCAGTCGCATACAAGAATATCAGCAGAGCAGGGTGGGGAAGTGGATTTGGATTCAATGACAAATCTTGGGCGCTAGAGTGTGACCAAAACAGTTATACATTTAGTTACAACAGTATCGACACTCCCGTCTCAGGTCCTCAGTCCTCCAGAGTAGGAGTGTACCTGGATCACAGAGCAGGTATTCTGTCCTTCTACAGCATCTCTGAAACCATGACTCTCCTCCACAGAGTGCAGACCACATTCACTCAGCCACTACATGCTGGAGTTTTGCTTTATTATGAAACCACAGCTGAGTTGTGTAAACAGAAATAGCCTGAAGTCATTTGAGGAACTCTTCTACTTCTTAAACTCATTGTGTATCACACCCAGTTTCTGCATTACTACTCCTTAGCTGCCACCTCTCAGTGAATCTACAGAATCATTCAGCATCAACGTCCTTCCTCTGAGATACTTTGAGAACGTGATGAGAGAGAAGTGGACCATTATCTCACTGAAGGGGACTGAAGTAGATATTTTACTGCCAGAACCAGAGCCCAGGACCAGAGCTGGATTCTTAAAATATTCACTTGAAATCGGAGTTTACCTGGATCACGATGCAGGTGTTCTGTCTTTCTACAGTATCACTGACACCATGACCCTTCTCCACAGAGTTCAGACCATCGTCATGCTGCTGCATGCTGGACTTTGGATTTTTTTTTTTTCTGGAAAAAATGCTGAGTTCTGTAAACTCACTAGAAGTGAATCACTGGGTTCTCAGAAATGTTCTTTAAAGGTCTCTTATTATGCAAAATCCACTGTTAATGTCTTTTCTACATCAACATGTGTCCCCTCTGTGTAAAGAGAGTCTGAAAGTCTCAGGAAAAAAGATTCTCTCTTTTTGTCCTGATCCATTTATATAAAAACCTGTCTGAAAATGAGCTGATCAGATTTTGGCCACTTTATGATGTCATAACTTATCACCTGAATCTCGTCCTAGAGCACCATTGTGTTCTTTTAACCAATCATCTCTCAGAGGGGCGTGGCCAGCAGCAGCTCATTAGCTTTTAAAGCTACATACACAGAATGAGCACTTTTGAAACAGGACTGAAACAGAGGGGATTATGGGATGCTGCAATGATCTGTTTGGTGTTTCAGACAAACACTCCAGAGACATGTTTCTGTATATATCTGAGACCTATAATATATTGTTGAAAAAGTGTATAATAAGGGCCCTTTTTTATCATCAAGTGAAGTAACACTGCTGGCTGATTGTTGTGGTGTTTCTTCAGCTGTCAATCAAACGCTAGGGGCGGTACCTCTATAGTTGTTGTGTAAGTGTTTGACTTTCTTTAGCTGTGTGGTGGTGTGTGTTTCTCTGCAGGAACTCTTCTCTGCGTCCACAGGTTTGTATTCATGTGTTTCTTTGCTGCTGTTTCTCTTCCACTGCAGGGCTCTGCAGAGAGGAAGCAGCAGACCTTCTTTATCCTGCACACCTTGTTCTCTCTGTGATCATTTGTAAAGACGCCTATAACGTCGCAAACTGAAAACACATCAATTTCAACTGTACCTTGGCAATTAAGTTATTGCTGGGAAAAAAAAACGAAGCACTTGTTGAGTTAATTTAGGCCTGTAACTGATTCACCAGCACTTATATGATCTTGCTTGAAGTGAATATATCTGCACTTTCCTTGTTGTTCGGAGTCGATTCTTTATGGTTTTTGCCCTTATTGTAAGTCGCTTTGGATAAAAGCGTCAGCTAAATGATATGTAATAATAATAATATGTAATATATGTAATAACCACATGTGTTTGTTATTGTAGGTATTATAGAGGTGTAATCATCCTGATCATAATCAATAAGGAGAGGATTGATGAGCTCAGTGTGGATTAAATCAATGAAGAGACTTTCCTGATGTGTAACAAACTGCAGCTTTACATGATGAATAAACAGACATCAATAACGTGTTTTTATTATGGTATTTATTCCCAAAGCCTGTGGAAAAATGTAATATGAGAGGTAATAATAAATAATACAAGGAATTATAATAAAAAATAAATAAATAAATAAATAATAAATAAATAAATAATAAATAAATAAATAAATAAATAAATAAATAAATAAATAAATAAATAAACAAATAAATAAATAAATAATAAATAAATAAATAAATAAATAAATAAATAAATAAATAAACAAATAAATAAATAAATAAATAAATAAATAAATAGGCAAATAAATACAAATGATACAATTAATTTATATGGGACATTACAATGTAACTGCTTATTGTTTTTATGATGTGAAATTAGTAAAACATTACCTTACTCAAATGTATTCTTTTTGAAGATAACTACCAGGCTACAAATGTCGTTTTTCTTAATGTACTTTTATTAAGAAACAGAAAATGGGAGGATCATTTTCATCACGTATTTAATCCGCCCAATTTTTTTAAATAACATTATTGTAAGTATAATATTGGTGTAAATGTAGAAAGGGGCACGAAAACTAGAATAATCTATATATTTTATGGGTCAGTTTTACATGTTCCTAAATATTTCTGTTTTATTTTGTATCTACTGTAGATCCCTGCTTCCGACGAAAATACAAAATAAAGCATGTTTTATTTGTGCTGTTCATAATAAATACAAACAATATTTGATATTATAATTTTTTATAATATTTTTTGGCTGGTGATTATCGTTTCAGCCACTAGAGAGCAGTCAGTTTTTAACGTCCTTGTTCATTCTCAAGAAAGCCTTGGAGTCACTTTAAAAAAAAAGAATAAATAAACAAATGTACACATGTTTTTTGTTTGAACTTATTCACCTGTAGTGTCTCTACTTACAAGTAATTAACATTAAAATACGTTTTTTACTCCAAACTGCATTTAGTTTTTTAGCCTGTTTTGTTGAACAGTTCACGTTAACATTGTTTTCTTATTGCCTCGTTATTAGACTTCATTACCTTTGCAGCAGTGGTCTATGTATGTGTCTTTAATGTATTTTAATGACATAAAACCAAGAGTTAGATTACATTTAAGTACAGAACAACCCAAACCCCTTTGATTCATGAGAAGAGTTTACCTGAGCAGTTTTATAAGCAGAAATGAACTTTGATGTAAGCGCGTGTTTATCGTTATCAAACAATAAAAAGTTTAATTAAGAACAAAGTCCAGTGCTGCTCCTCTTCCAGGAAAGCTTGATAACCCCCTGTGAAGCTGACAAGTGAGCGGCCCCGACCAAAGTAATGAGGCAGAGGCAGAACGTCAAAATACAACCCAGTGTGGGAATTTATGAATCATTTGTACACGATTAAAACCATTCCATAAAACAGGTTTTAAATGCCACACAAGCTCTTGTCATCTTTTATATAAATCAAATGCTTCCTGTGAAATCATATTCTACCGTGGTACAAAATGAATATGCTTCGCCAATACAGAAGCTATATAATATGTAACGGAGACCAGGGGCGGACTGGCCATCTGTAGAATCTGGAGAATCACAGAACGGCCGGTCGTCAAAGGCTGTTGACGGCCGGCTCGGTTCGCTGACGGCCGGCACCGTTCGTTGCATCATCGAAGTAGCCCCCCCCCCCCCCGTTGACAAATTACGTGGGCCCGGGCTGGGGGAGATTCAGGGCTGATTTTTTGTCCCAGTCCGCCCCTGACGGAGACTGAGATCTACGGCCCCAGAGATCACCCTCCGTTACATTTCCTCACCCCTCTCCCTAGGAAGCAGAGTGTTCTTATCAGTCTTGGCTTTGGGACAACCAGTCAGCTACCAGGTTTGACTTCCCTGCCATGTACTTAACCGTAAAGTTGTATGGCTGCAAGGCAAGGTATCAACCCGCAATACGCATGTTTGCGTCCTTCATCTTGTGAAGCCACTGGAGCGCACGATGGTCTGTCTCCAGGATGAACTTCCGTCCACGAAGGTAGTACCTCAGGGGGTCGAAGGCCCACTTCATCACCAGGCACTCCTTTTCAATGGTTGAGTACCGTGTCTCGCTGTCCAGCAGCTTCCGATAGGGGAAACAACCGGTTTCAGCTCCCCATCCACTTCCTGCAGCAATACCGCTCCAATGCCTACCCCTGAGGCATCTGTCTTCCCCCCCTGATCTCTCTTCTCCAGCAGTAAAGTTTAACTGTAGGTTTGAATTTGCATATGTATGCAGTGATCTGTCTCTTCCTCTCTCCCGCAGACAGCTGAGTGCTGTCAGACCGGACCATGGCTGTAAAGCCCTGACGAGGGGTGTCTAGTTCCCCCTCTCGACACATAGACTGATCCTTTTTTTTTGTCCATGTCTGATTGGCTTAGACCTTTCGCGACTGCAAACATTTTTAAACAAACAAACATTGACCATACCGTTCACCAGCCCCCACCTCCCTCTGAGTGACAAGCTGAGAAGTCAACTACTACTGTCAGGGAACATATGGCGCGTTCACACCGGAGTACTTTTCCCACAATAGTTCATCAGAACTCAGATATATTTGCGTTCACACCAAAAAGCCCCCTGAACTAAATTAGTTCATCAGAACCATTTTTTACCCCCTTTTCCGTCCCTGCTAGAGAGCAGGGACTTTCGTGGGAGAAAAAGGTTCCTATGTCTGATTGGCTGGGCGGAATGCAAACCACGCCCCGTAAAACTCCCAAAAAGTTTTGTGAAGCCGCCATTTTATTATCCTCGCATTAGCATTATTAGCATTAGCATTAGCCCAGCGCACAAACGCAGAGAGACTAACTTATGGCAACACAAAAGAAAACATGGGAGCGGTGGAGATGAGGAGGTGTCGGCGTTCTGGTGATTTACTCGGAAGGCTGCCGGTGTGAACGCGATCTGCTTTAGTTCATCAGAACTAAAAGAGTTCTCATGAACTGAGTTCTCATGAACTATTGTGGGAAAAGAACTTGGTGTGAACGCCCCTATACTGTGTGAACCAAGGCCTAAACAAAGACCAAAGGTTACAGTTAGCTGTCTTTGTGTATTGCAACCAGGGAGAGCAGTGATGGACACTGCCACAATGGAAACTCATATGAAATAAACAGCTGATTCCTCACACACAGTAGCCTGTTGTTTCTATGCATAAAATAGTGAGAAAACATGCCTCTGGTTAATAATTATATAACTTATTTTCTCCATAAAAGCTGGTGGGTTGAAAGCAATACGGGAGGGGAAAAATAACTATATTGTAGAATACAGAATAATTTATCTTTTATTACTATAAACAACAAAGATGGCAATGAATTTAAGCCCAAATATTCATAGTAATTTAATAAATCCTTCCAACACACGTTGTAAAAAATTGCCTAAGTTAATAAATCATTCCACTGTTTAGGTCAGTAAACAAATTAAAAAACACAGTTTAAAAGGGGAGTGATTAGTCAAATATGCATAAATAAAAAAGAAAGAATGCAGACTAGGTATGATAAAGATAGGAGAAAGGAGTTTATCAAATATTTGTTATTATTTGTTATTGGTTTTTGATTATTAAAATATATACAGTTCTGTTTCATATGAGTGTTGAGAGCTGTATCCATTAATCTCTTAATTTTGCCCTCAAAGTGCACCAGATTGATGCATTTAACTTCAATTTAAAGAAAAACCTCTTCTGTTGTAACAACAATAACATTATAAATAGTAACATAGTTGAACATGGTATTGTACATTTAGCTTTGAGTGTTACTGACCTGAGATGTTTTTATTACATGAATTAAGGTGACTGAGGCTTTTTAACATAGACTTTTCAGTGTCCCACATTTTGCACAGAACTGTCCCACATTAGGAAATGCAGATTGTCTGAGACAACTTGGCACTAAGAGTACTGATATGTCTACCATTTCTTTTATGAGTGTAATATCTGCATTTTCTCTTTTGGTTTGATTAGGACACATCCTGGGGATTTCAGAATGGTACTGGATTTTGATTTATTGTATTGGCTTCATATTTATCTGTGTACGTGTGTTTTACTGAACGAGCATCTGTGATCTGCATGCACTTATCAAACATTTAATTAAAGTAAAAATAGTGAGGAGGTCCAAAATCAACCAAAGTGCTTTGTTTTTAACGTTCATCACTATAATAATCAAAAGGAGAAATATAAACGTTAGTTTTTACTGAAATGATCAAATGAAGTCAACATTTCACAGTCTTTACTGAGCTGTGTGGGGGTTGTTCAACTTTTAAAAGACGTTTGAATGGTGATATACACAGTGATAGATGTTAAGGACTAACGTTTATAATAAATAGCCTACATTTGTATTTATTTTAGGATCTTAAAATCAGACTGTGTGTGTGACTCTCTTTGTTTACACACCTAATAGCCCATCAGCCACAGCTCTTCCCCCCCCCCCCCCCTTGATCTCTCTTCTCCAGCAGTAAAGTTTAACTGTAGGTTTGGTTTGCATATGTATGCAGTGATCTGTCTCTAATAATAATAATAATAATAATAATAATAATAATACGTATTGGGATCATTTGTATTAATGTGGACCGGAGGGAGAGGGTGACGAGCATAAGTTTCACTTTCCTTTATTTCAATTCCAACTTTGGTCATGAAGAATATGTTTCTCTGTTGTCCACGTTCATAAAGAATAAAACAACAGCATCAGAGCACGGTGCAGAGTCTCTAGATGAGTTTACAGTAGTTGTTGTTCTTATTATAGTATACATCAATGTAGTCCGCTGTATAGAAAACTGTAGTTTCCCCACAGCAGCAGACGCACATTCATGACGTCGCGCATCATAAATACGTCGATAGTGTAAATGTAGTCGGATTCTCCTAAATCCTTTTGAATTCTCCTATCCACTATTCCTTAACCCTGAAAGGGTCTGTGGGGAATCGGTGTGACAAAGCTCTCCCATCCCCCCTCAGTTAACAAGAGGTAGTAAGCAGAGATGGGGTCGTTACTAAAAAAAAGTAATATATTACATATTACTTTTTTAAAAAAGTAATATTACACTGCTTCGTTACTCTCTACATAAAGTAACTCGTTACTTTACTCGTTACTTTACTCGTTACTTTACTCGTTACTTTACTCGTTACTTTACTCGCAGGGCCGGCCCGCCCCTCCCTACAGGCAGATCACGCAGACTGCTAAAGTTTCAAATGTTCTCTTTAGTTCAGTTTCCATTGTCGCATAAGACTGATCCAGATAGCTCTGACCATGGCTGTCCTCTGTCTCCTGCTATCTGTATTTTGCGCAGTATATCTCTGAACGATGCGATGGTGATTCCACTGTGCAAATGGGCAACATTACCTCTACTATGAAGGATGCTACAAGCCTGTCCATCTCTGCTTTGGTTACCGGTCCTCCAAATTCTCATTTGTGCCGCTTCAGAGTCGGCGGCGGCGCACTCACAACATCCTCACTCTGGGTTCGGGGGTCCTTAGCTATTAGCTTCACCTTAGCATGTGTTCTTTGCAAGTGTTTGTTGAGGTTTGACGTGGTGTTTACAGCAGTGGATAACAGCTTCTGGCCTGGACACAGTTTGCACCTCACCGTCACATTCCTGTCTATTCTTCGGACGAACTCAAAATAATGGGCATACCTCCACCCCTCGAAAGTTATCGCTGACTCAGCCATGTTTATGCAGCACTGCGCGCGGAGATGTGGACGCGCAAGTCGCGCAGATTACGTACATATAAACCTGCGGCGGAAACCCCTCTTGTCTGTCAGTGTGATTATGACTGATTTTATAAAAGTAACAAAGTAACGCGTGTCGGGGCAATGTTAGTAACTGTAGTGTGATTACTGAATTATAAAAGTAACGCGTTACACTACTCCGTTACCGACAAAAGTAATATTATTACAGTAACGCATTACACCCAACTCTGGTAGTAAGACTCTTTAGCCGCATTTACACCGGAGTACTTTTCACCGTACTTTTCACGTTTAGTTCCGTTAGTACCCCTTATGTCGCGTTCACACCAAAAAGAGCACTTAATCTCGGGAACTTTTACCCCCATTTTTTGTGCCTGCTGAGAGATGGTACTTTCCTGGGGGAAAAAAGTGCCCCAGTTCTGATTGGCTGGGCGAATTGCAAACCACGCCCCGTACAACTCTGAAATGTTTTGTAGAGCCGCCAATTTATTATCCTTGCATTAGCATTATTAGCATTAGCATTCGCCCAGCGCACAAACGCAGAGAGACTAACTTATGGCAACACAAAATAAAACATGGGAGCGGTGGAGATGAGGAGGTGTCGGCGTTCTGGCGATTTACTCGGAAGGCTTCAGCCGGCGGGGACTCCGGGTGGCAGTATACGCCGTGAAGTTGTTTGCGGCCTGCCAGTAAACCCAAAGCAGAAGAAGACGAAGTGACGTCAGCGGCTCATTTGCGTAATCTTCCCTCAGGGAATTTATTCCGGTGTGAACGCGATCTGTACTAAATGCCCTGGGGTAATAAGTGCCGGGGCACTAAGTGCCGGGACTAAATACGGCAAAGTACTTGGTGTGAACGCGCCTAATGTTTCAAATAATGGGCGAGCGATCGGAATGTGACATCTCCCCCCCCTCTTCTCCATTGCCGTGTCCACTCGGAGGTGGAAGAAGTATTCCGATTATTTACCTAGGTAAAAATACGTGTTAGAAGTGAATGTCCTGCATTCAAAATTGTCAATAGCCCAAGTGAAAAGTATTATCATCTGAAAGTAAAATGAATCATTATGTTATTAGTATTAAATACAAGTATTTTTACAACTTATATTTAGAAATACTCCGTTGTAATTATTGATGCATAAATGTGTTCATCCATTCAATATATATATATACATTATATATTATATATTCCTATAATGGGGTTAATGTATGATATTACTTAATAATACAATACATTATAATATATGATATGATAATTTAATTTTAAATGTATTCATTTCTTATTTCATAGTTTCTCATTGTTATTATTTTAATCGCTGATCTTATTTTTGATTGTATTAATCTGTGTGAATCTGTGCTGTCCTGTTTTTCACTCTCACCCTGTTGCTGTTTGAACTACTGAATTTCCCCACGGGGATTAATAAAGGTCCATCTTATCTTATCTTATCTTAATGTATAAGTTGATTTACTTTGATCTACTGTACTGTGTTGCACCACAACAATATTACAAGAAATATACTGCATAAAGCAAACTATTGTAAAGGTAAAAGTATGAGCATAAAAAATAAAGAAGTGTAAACATTTACATTATTATTATTATGATTATTTAATATATAAAGACTATATATTATTGAATTACAATTAAGATAATAAGATTAGATATACTTTATTTGATCTAAAATATTGATGTTTTTTCATTATAGTAGCTAGCCTGTGAAAACCATAACAAATATGTGTTTAAATGCTATTCAGCAAACACAACTGAAGTACTGAAAGTCCATGAAACTGAAGACCTAAGTTGTCTTTGTGAATTTGTGAATGAAGCGCCATCGCATGGTTAAATCCTGAAATTGAAAATCTGGCAACGCCCTCTCAAGAAACAGTGGAGGGCTTTACATTTCCAGCCGCTGGGATCCGCTGGGTTTTCGGCTGGAATCTGTTGGGTGGAGTCCTTTCTAGAGTGCTACATCTGTATGTGGTGTGATGTCTGCGTTAGCTTCCCGTGTTGCGAGTTTAGATCGCTCAGTAATGATACTTGTATATCTGGAATCTGTGGAATCTCAGCTTGCTAGCTAATATCTTGTTTGTGCAGATCCGATAAGTAATAAAGTATTTATACTGTGAGTTCTGTGCTAACTGCGTTAGCATCTCTTCGCTCAGGGCTCATTTAGATGCTTCTTGTGAGACTTGTGATTTGTTTTGGTAAAAATGGTTCATATCGTCAGTTAGCTGAGTTTCTTCCCGTTAAGTGGGTATGACACATTCATAGTTTGTTAAATGTTAAGAAGCCCTGAGACACAGTTTAGTGAAAAAAAAAGCCCCATAGCCCCCGCTAACAGGTTAAAGAGACATGGGCTCCATTGTAAACACGTTATACACACCTTATCTTACTCAAGCAATTAGAATATAATAAGGATCAAAGTGCAGTGCCTCTTCCAGGACTTTCCTAAAGTTTGAAACACATTTGTCTTACGGGGCTTTACAAACTATACAGCATACAATCTGTCCTGAGACCCTTGCAGCCAACAAGTAACACCCCAAAATAAACCCAACAACAACAAGGCATGCACTAAATCAAATTAAAACATATACCATCCATATAACAAAAATGACTGGATCTGCTGAGGTGACTACTTCCTGTAACTCATGTGAATCGAAGTTCTTGAACAGGTCTACAGATTTAGTTGTGCGAATACACAGTAGGAAGTAGAATTTAAACAAATGAAGCCATTGTTTTGTTTCTCTGTAAAAGTCCCAAAACTCTGCTGAAAACCCTTTAAAGCCTGACTCGCGTGAGCTGGCGGTCAAAGGTCGAAGTACGGCTTTGCTAACGGCATGTTGTAAAGGACAGAAAACACACCCTGCCTCTCATAAAGTTCAGCTGATTCCTCACTCACTGCTGCAGGGGAACCAGAGCAGACGGAGAACACATTGGTTCTGTTCAGAGAAAATTATTAACAGTCATTAACACTGAGAGGTGAAATGGCGCAGCGAGGAAATCACATCAACCAAGAAATAATCTGCTGTACGATCTGTCTGGATCTACTGAAGCACCCGGTGACTATTCCCTGTGGACACAGTTACTGTATGGACTGTATTCTAAGCTTCTGGCATGGAAAGGTAATCTACAGCTGCCCTGTGTGTAGAAAGAGCTTCACACCGAGGCCTGTCCTGCTGAAAAACACCATGTTAGCAGCTTTAGTGGAGGAGCTGAAGAAGACTGGACTTGATGAAGCTCCTGCTGATCACTGCTATGCTGGAGCTGAAGACGTGGCCTGTGATGTCTGCACTGGGAGAAAACTGAGAGCCTGTAAGTCCTGTCTGCAGTGTCTGATCTCTTACTGTGAGAAACACCTCCAGCCTCATTATGAATTGCCTGCCTTTGGAAAACACAAGCTGGTGGAGCCCTCCAAGAAGCTCCAGGAGAGCATCTGCTCTCGTCACCACGAGGCGATGAAGATGTTCTGCCGCACTGATCATCAGTGTATCTGTTATCTCTGCTCTGTGGATGAACATAGAGGCCATGAAACAGTGTTAGCTGAAACAGAAAGGACTGAGAGGCAGAGAGAGCTGGAGGGGAGTCGGCAAATCATCCAGCAGAGAATCCAGGACAGAGAGAAGGAGGTGAAGCGGCTTCAAGAGGAAGAGGAGGCTATAGACTGCTCTGCTGATAAAGCAGTGGAGGACAGTGAGAAGATGTTCACTGAGCTGATCCGTCTCATGGAGAAAAGAAGCTCTGATGTGAAGCAGCAGGTCAGATCCCAGCAGAAGAGGGAAGTGAGTCGAGTCAAAGAGCTTCAGGAGAAGCTGGAGAAGGAGATGGCTGATCTGATGAAGAAAGACGCTGAGCTGAAGCTGCTGTCTCAGGAAGAGGATCTCAACACGTTTCTTCAAAGCTCACTGCCACCTCTGAGTGAATCTACAGAATCATTCAGCATCAACGTCCGTCCTCTCAGATACTTTGAGGACGTGACAGCAGCCGTGTCAGATCTCAGGGATAAACTACAGGACGTCCTGATGGACAAATGGAAAAACGTCTCACTGAATGTGAGTAAAGTGGATGTTTTGCTGCCACAACCAGAGCCAGAGACCAGAGCTGGATTCCTAAAATATTCACGTGAAATCACTCTGGATCCAAACACAGCACACACACAGCTGTTATTATCTGAGGGGAACCGGAAAGCTACAGTAACGAGACACACCCAGGCCTATCCCAGTCACCCAGAAAGATACAAGGATTATGTTTGGCAGGTCTTGAGTAAAGAGGGTCTGACTGGTCGTTGTTACTGGGAGGTGGAGTGGAGAGGAGGTCTTTCTATAGCCGTCTCATACAAGAACCCCAGCTCTGAAGAATGTAGATTTGGATACAATGACAAATCCTGGGCGTTAGAGTGTGACAAAAACAATTATAAATTCTGGCACAACGGTGTAAAAACTCCCCTCTCAGGTCATTGGTGCAACAGGATAGGAGTTTACCTGGATCACGATGCAGGTATTCTGTCTTTCTACTGCATCATGGATGACACCATGACCCTCCTCCACAGAATACAGACCACTTTCACTGAGCCTCTAAATGCTGGACTTTGGATTTATGTGTTTCCTGGAAAGAATGCTGAGTTCTGTAAACTCATCTAGACAGAAGTGAATCACTCTGTTTCTCTTCCACTGCAGGGCTCTGCAGAGAGGAAGCAGCAGACCTTCTTTATCCTGCACACCTTGTTCTCTCTGTGATCATTTGTAAAGACGTCTATAACGTCGCAAACTGAAAACACATCAATTTCAACTGTACCTTGGCAATTAAGTTATTGCTGGAAAAAAAAGCGCCGCACTTGTTGAGTTAATTTAGGCCTTGTAACTGATTCACCAGCACTTATATGATCTTGCTTGAAGTGAATATATCTGCACTTTCCTTGTTGTTCGGAGTCGATTCTTTATGGTTTTTGCCCTTATTGTAAGTCGCTTTGGATAAAAGCGTCAGCTAAATGATATGTAATAATAATAATATGTAATATATGTAATAACCACATGTGTTTGTTATTGTAGGTATTATAGAGGTGTAATCATCCTGATCATAATCAATAAGGAGAGGATTGATGAGCTCAGTGTGGATGAAATCAATGAAGAGACTTTCCTGATGTGTAAACAAACTGCAGCTTTACATGATGAATAAACAGACATCAATAACGTGTTTTTATTATGGTATTTATTCCCAAAGCCTGTGGACAAATGTAATATGAGAGGTAATAATAAATAATACAAGGAATTATAATAAAAAATACATTAAAGAGAGAAACAAAAAACACATAAATAAACAAACAATAATAACAAGAAACAAAAAATTATAATAAATAAACAAATACAAAATACATAAATAAACAAATAATAATAATAAATACAAAAATGTATAATAAAAAGTACAATAAATGAAAAATACAAGCAATTACGACAAATCATTTTTAATGAATAAAATAAAATAAATAAAATAAATAAAATAAATAAAATAAATAAAATAAATAAAATAAATAAAATAAAATAAATAAAATTGTATTTATTTCATGTGTGTATTTCATAAATAAATAAATAATACAAACAATTATATTAAAAAATAAAACAGTTATATCAAAACAAATCATAATAATAGAAAACAATATATTTAATAAAAACAGCACTAATGCTAATTGTATTGTTTGTGTTTTTATTGGTAATTCTCTTCTCGACCGCTAGGGGGCAGTCGTTCCCATTTGTCCCATGATAACCCCGTCACCACGCGGCTTGATGACGTCTCTTCTCCAGCCAACATGGTGAAGAAACAACGTGGGGAAACATCTTCGTCTCTAAAGATGGAGAAACACTCGGATAACTTCAATTTGATTCTTGAGTCCAGCGACGACGAGGCTCCAGAAGAAGTGACGTTTGAAGACTCAAAGGCTCAGGCTCTGAAGAGCATGAAGCTCGCGCTGGACACCGCGAGGAGGTAACCAAACTCCATTTGAAAAACAGACTTTTAATGTTTTTATTCATAATAGTCCGGAAAAGTCTCCAAAACAAATATACTATCACCTATTCTGATTTATTAGGACACATTTTACACGTCGGTGGTCATATTTAGCACTGATCAGCTCTTTATAAACACATGTGTGAACCAGAAGGTTAACAACCAGCCAAACTCCATTAAAATATCCCAGATTTTTAAGGTTTTTCATGATAAACATGCACTGATCAGCTCCATATATATGTGTGTATTTGACAGAGTTGGGAAGTAACTAGGTACATTAATAACTCCAGAAGGTAAAGAACCAGCCAAACTTCATTATTAAAATAAATCTCACTTTTAAGGGGTTTCGTGATAAGTCAGAATAAAATTACCAAAACGAGAATTTTATCACATAATGTGATTTATTTGCACATATTTGACACTTCGGCTTCAATATTTATCACTGATCAGCTCTTTATGTGTGTGTTTGGTTCACAAATGCACACCGCTACCATAATGTGCAGGTTTTAGGAAGACAGAAAATACTATGTAGTTTTTTTTTAGTGAAGCTTTATTTTGGGACAAAATGAACAGAACCCACTCAAAAGTCGAGTTGAGGCATTTACGTGTGTGTGTGTGTGTGTGTGTGTGTAGGAGCAAGATTCACCATATTTGACAGTTTGTTAAATGGAGTTTGGTTTGACAATTCGTCCAGAGAGAACAGGCCAATATTAAACCAGGATAACGGAACATATTAGAAAACATAATGTGGTTGCATTTCTCTGTTTGCAGGGACAAAGAGCTGCTGAAAGAGAAGAGGAAGAAGAGACAGGAATTATTCCAGGAACAGAAGGTAAGTGTGTTTTAAAATGTCCATTAAAACCATTTCATAGACTCGATGGTTACTGTTATTGATTGTTTAAGGACAGTTCTTGTCTAAATGTGTTTTTTAGTATCCATTAGAATAGCCTGATTTCAGCCACTAGGAAACTTATTTTGGGAAATAATTAATATACCATGGCAGGTATTAATAAATCCCTGTTTTTCAAATTGTCATATGTATAGCGACAGAAAATGACATTACCCATGTGATTGTAATGTGCAATGAAATAAGGATCCTGTCATTCTGCTGTTTTAACAGAAAAGGAAGCTCTTACCGGCCGCCGTGTTGGAGGAAATCGACTCAAAGTGAGTTTACCGGTCTGATTTAATTCTGCAGCTTCTTAATTTCAAACCGTTTCTCCTCCGTCTCTGATTTCAAACGCTAACATCTGCTCTATTTCACAGGAAGCAGAAACAGTCTGAAGACGAAGGTGAGGAAGATTTCTGCCCTCAGGATTGACTCTTCCTCAGCTTAAACTGGCTCAGTAATGCCTGGAGGGAATCTCCTCAAATTGGTCCAAAATGTCCACTTAGACTCAACGATGGACTGCTTTGAATTTGGGGGGGTCTTTTATAACTATAGAATCAATTTGATAATGATTTGATAATCACACCTCTCCGCCTCCTCACTAAGGCCAAAGTGTCACCCCTTCCTGCTCCTAAGAGTTTTCCCAAATCACTCCTTTGCAGTGGCTAAAATCCCATGAGATTATTTTGTAACTCCTTATTCCTGAATGTTCCTTTGTTGGCCACGTGGAGAGCTTGGGGGACCAGTGGGTAAAACATCCACTGGTCGTTTTGATTTATTGATCTTGAACATTTATTGCCAAAAAACGTAATCAAAAAACGAAAACAATATCAAAATGGAGCTTAAACTTTAGCAGCCGATTCTATTGATCTGTTCACTGAGGCTCAAATGCATTAATAAAAGTGAAGTAGATCAAAAACAAAATCAACTTGAATGCGGCTCTTATAGAGCGGTGCAGTGACGCGTCCTAAAACCCTGAAGTAAGCTGCTGGTTCCCTCGACAGAAAGCAACGGGATTTCTCCAGAGGATTTAGGAAAATAGCTGGAAATAAGTTCTGTGGAAACGAAGCTGTTTGATAAATGCACGTTTTGTTCAGCCGGATCATCTCCACATGTCTCTACTTTTATAATGTTCTAATCATAACTCTAATGGCCAGAAGCAAAATGCTAACGTTATGCTATAAAGGAACTACAGCAGGGTCGCTGCTTCAACGTCACGCCAACTTAAGATCCATATTCAAACATACAGACTCTAAATGGTACGAGTTGAAGCGTTTGTTTGAACAGTCTGCAGGAGGCAGGTACTTGCTTTCAAGCAGAACAGGGCAAACTAACTTAGAGGAGTGTTTACGTGTTCGGCGTAATGACGTACAACGTCCTCCACGACTTCTGTAGTCCTATTCAGCCACTTGGTAACAACCATCGTTTTTCAGACACGTCAACTCTTCAGAAATCACCAGTGGGGTCACTGCTGATGGATTTAATGTCGTAGAACAAAACGTGATCCGTCTCTTCAATGTGTCTCAACCACAGACCTTATTTCCAGATATTTTCCAAAACCCTATGGAGAGATCCCATTGGCTCTGAGACGAGGGAACAGGAAGTGGTGAAATGCTGACTCACTTCCTGGTTTTAGGACGCGTCACTGCACCGCTCTATACTCCTGATCCAGGACTCTTTACTACAAACATTAATGCTGAGTTAGGATCTTTCTGAGAGTGTTTTCTGACTGTTTGTAAAAGCAGCTTCTGATCTGTGTGACTCTGTTCCTCCAGCTGAAGACGAGCAGCAGGAAGCAGAAGGAGAGGAGAAGGAGACGAAGAAGAGGAAGAAGAGTGGGAAACTCGCTAATGCCAGAAAGTATGTCAATCTATTTTTATCTAAATTCTTGTTTTAAAAGCATGGACAGGGTTCCCGCGGGGTCTTAAAAAGTCTTAAAAAGTCTTAAATTTGATAATCTGAATTTAAGGCCTTAAAAAGGTCTTAAATATGACCAAAAAAATAAGAAAGGTCTTAAATATGATTTAGAAGGTCTTAAAAATGATGGGATTTGAAAGGTACTTCTGTGTTGCGATCGCGTCTAAAATGTGTTTTGGGGGACTTGTCCGGGCTGCAAAGTAACGGTAATAGCCTTTCAGTTCCCCCCAACAATTTGTATTGAAATAAATCAACATGGAACCAGTAATCACTAACTTTGTTTCCCCCGGCCCCTTATTGGAGAACACCCAGCTAGTAACCTAGCAACCAAGCTTCAGCTAGCGGCAGTCAGAAACTCATGTCTCTTCGAATCTACTTACAAATAAATATGGGGAAGTGTAAGTTCAACCGTATTTGGTTGGAAAACATCGAATTTAGTGCTTGGTTGAAACCAGTGGAGGGGAACGTGTTTGAAGCCCGCTGCACCTTTTGCAAAAGAAATTAGCGTTTTGTTTGGCTAATGTAGCGTTAGCTAGTGCAGCGTTAGCTAGTGCAGCAGCTCCCGCAACAACACCGTTGGATCTCCGGGCGACGTTTGGGTCTTCGACGTCAACCCTAAAAGCGGAGGTGCTGTAGTGTGTATACGCTAACTACCGTAGCTAAACACCAATCGTACAACAGCAACGATGAAAGATTGTAGCCAAGGCAGCAGAGCTCTGAATATAGCTCTTGTTTCTCTCTGTTTCTCTCGGTTTCTCTCGGTTTCTCTCGGTTTCTCTCGGTTTCTCTCAGGTCTCTCTATCTCTTCTCTCTCTCTATCTCTTCTCTCTCTATCTCTCTCTCTCTCTCTCTCTCTTCTCTCTCTCACACACACACGGGCTGCTCGATTATGGCAAAAATCATAATCACGATTATTGTGGTCAATAATTGATATCACGATTATTAAATAACATTATTCATTGACTTTGAAAACATCAATTTATTGAACTTTAAAACAAATAATTAGAACAGTATCTTTTTAACTGTTGATTACCCTGAACGTATAATTCAACTGAAAAACCAATACAAAAATAAATTAAATAAATGATATATTTAAATAAATAATATCAAAATAATAAATACCAATAAACAAAATCAACAAATATTTTGGAGCGCACTTCCACAAGCTACTAAACATATATAAATATGATAAATAAAAATTAATTAGACTAAAATTAATTAGATCAAATATGTCGTAGTGCACTGTCACAACCTAGCAAAGCTAAATAATAGTTTTTTTTCGATTATGTTGTTTTTGTAATTGTGGCAGGCCACGATTAAGGCGATTAAAATACGATTAATTGCACAGCCCTAACACACACACAAGCACACACAGAGACACATACACACTTTTTGTACACAGTTCTGTACTGTTATGCTGTTATGTTCAGTCATTGTTCTTATGTTGAACATGAATACATTTGATTTGTAAGTAATTATGGGACGTATTTCTTCTTTCATAGCCATTTTCCTTCATACTTTCTTGCCGTGAAATAGGTCTTAAATTCTATTCGAAGTGGTCTTAAAAAGGTCTTAAAAAGTCTTAAATTTGAGTTGGCGAAACCTGCAGGAACCCTGATGGAGTTGCTGGATGACTTGAACTCGTAACTGATCATCAAAGTAGCTTGACTAAGGGTTAAAGGTTTCTAATTACTCTGATGAAACTGTTTCCTGTGTGTAGAATTGCTCGACTTTATTAGTCGACTACTTGTGTAGCATTAAAAGGAATAAGAAACCTCTCTAAATGTTAATGTGTATAAGAGGAAACTTTGTCTAATGTGTTTATTGAAACGGTTTCAGTCTGAAGGGGAAGTACACGGTGCAGACGGTGAAGCACGGAGCCTCCAAGGCGTCTCAGCGTCAGAAAGCTGAGGACTTCCTGCAGAGCAGACTCTATGGAGCGGGGAGCTGCCGGACCACAAGTAACAACTCTCTACAGCTCATTCACATTCAAGATTCAAGGCTTTTATTGTCATGTGTTCGTAGCTACAGTCAGGGGTTAAATTGGGCCGGGGCTGTCCGGGGCTAAGCCCCGGCACATAGGAAAAGCTCTGACGTCATCACCCTCGCATATTTTTAACAATGTATGCAGCATGCCTATATCATATGTTTACACAAAAAAGATATACATGTTAAAACTTTTCTTTCTATATGTTTAAGGTTCTTAATAATTCGAAAAATCAATAAAACACTCTTTCTAGCAGTAGGGAGCATAAATAAGAAGACGCGACGATGACTTGCACTTTTCAAATTTTTCGCGGTTCCCCCTTATTTATTTTCTTCAAATCTACTTTGCTGATCGGCGACCACACAGTCTCTTCCGTCAGTCACACAGACAGCCAGCAGTGACAGGTGAATCCGGGAAAGGTGTGGAGAAAAATAGGTAATACGCTGACAGGTTTCTTAACATGAATTGCTCTGATATTCTACTTTTACGTTCGACTACCATTAAGTTAAATAACGTTTTTTTGTTTGACTAACTTTTGATCAAATCAAGCGTTTCTTAAACTAAGAGAAAGACACCAGCCAGTGGTCGATATTGTGGACTTTATTTTAGAATAGCAGATCTCTGCGACCAGCTATAGTTTGTCGGCTTAGTGTCAGTGAACGTGTGTCTCTGCTCCGATCGTGAGCTACACTGCAGCACCTCCCGCGGGACTCTCCTGCGGTTCCTCCGTGCAGAGCGCCCGTTTCCTAAACCATGCTATGCAGGGGCGGTTCTAGGGGGGGGCAAACAGGGGCCAGTGCCCCCGTAACACTGACCCCTCCAAAAAAAAGTTACAATATTACGATTTATTGGAACTAAATCAAATCAGAGACCCGGATGTACAGTGGAGATTTAACTGTTCATTACCTTATAAAAGCAAATACTGTTTATGTTTTTTAATTAAATTGTCACTTAAAGTTACTAAAGCAAATACTAAAAATGAAAAAAACTACTGAAACACAGGACTGTAACTTAAATTGACCAAAACAAATACCAATTACTGTATTATGTTTATTTTACAAAATTACTTTATACTGTCTTTGTCAATTTAACCTGCTTTTATTGTGCCCCTCTCATGAAATAACTGGCCCCAGCCTGATGCTATGTATGTGTGTGCATAAAGCTGAGATATGCATATATTTATTTCCTTTCTCTTTGAAAGTTTCAGAGGTTAAAGTGAGGCATGATGCAGAAATGAGAAATGAGTGAAGCAAAAAAGAGGAAACTTACAGACTTCTTTAAAAGGTATGCAAGACATCACTGCTGCTTAGCGTGTCAAAGCCATTTGTATCTTTTATTTATTCACCATAAGTTCCTTTGTTAATTATCCTACATTTAAATGCAGAGTTGAGCAGAACAAGGCAGGTGATGGGCGAGCAGGGAAGCTTGGAAAAGAGAGAGGATCAGAGCAGCGTAAAGAAGGGAAGGGAGTGGAGGAACGAGAGGAGAGGAGAGGAGTAGAGCAGGCTGAGGAGAGGAGAGCAGAGCAGCCTGAGGAGGACAGAGGAGCAGGGCAGTTTGAGGAGAGCAGAGCAGCCTGAGGAGGACAGAGGGGCAGGGCAGCCTGAGGAGAGCAGAGCAGCCTGAGGAGGACAGAGGGGCAGGGCAGCCTGAAGAGAGCAGAGCAGAGCAGCCTGAGGAGGACAGAGGGGCAGGGCAGCCTGAGGAGAGCAGAGCAGAGCAGCCTGAGGAGGACAGAGGGGCAGGGCAGCCTGAAGAGAGCAGAGCAGAGCAGCCTGAGGAGGACAGAGGGGCAGGGCAGCCTGAAGAGAGCAGAGCAGAGCAGCCTGAGGAGGACAGAGGAGCAGGGCAGCCTGAGGAGAGCAGAGCAGAGCAGCCTGAGGAGAGGAGAGCAGAGCAGCCTGAGGAGGACAGAGGAGCAGGGCAGTTTGAGGAGGACAGAGGAGCAGGGCAGCCTGAGGAGAGCAGAGCAGAGCAGCCTGAGGAGGACAGAGGAGCAGGGAAGCCTGAAGAGAGCAGAGCAGGGCAGTTTGAGGAGGACAGAGGAGCAGAGCAGGGAAGCAGTGTAGGAAAGGCTGACAACTTGCCTGACTGCTGGAATCAAAGTCAATTTGAATATTTTACACAGAAATATCCATTTCTAATAATTGGAAATAAAAAAATAGGATGCAAATCATGCAGGGAAGCGGGATCCCTTGGGGCAATGAGAACAGGGAAACAGAGGTACTCATTCTCTACTGAATGGCAGAACTGTAGGGTAGGCCCATATGGCAACAGCAATGAGAAGCAAATGAAATCTTTGAGAAAGAAAATAAATGAACATAGTGTCTCACAGAGTCACAAATTAGCACAGGACATAGTAAAAAGACAAAATGAAGAAGCTTTAAAATCAAGCTTTCTAAAAACTCAAAAAGACATTTTGGCTTCCACCCATAATGTCTTTAGAACGGCATACTACATTGCAAAAAATAACCGGCCATACTCTGATCATCCTGGACTAATAGAACTACAAATGATAAATGGTGTAAATGTTGGCCGTGTACTCCACTCAAATGTTACATGTACAGACATTGTACATTTTATCTCAAAAGAAATGAGGGAAGCCCTATTGGCAAGTATCAAAGTGACCCGACCAAAGCTAACTGTTCTTGTGGATGAAAGCACATCATTAAGCAAGAAGTCTTGTCTTATTGTGTACCTAAGAACGTCAGTTGATAGCTCAGAGCCAGTGACCTTCTTCCTAGATCTTCTCGAGCTAGAGAGTACAACTGCAGATGGAATCATTAGTCAACTACTGAACTGTCTACAGAAATATGGTCTTGATGATGCTTTTCTGAAAGAATGTCTGGTGGGATTCTGCTCAGATGGAGCCTCCGTAATGGTAGGCAGAAAGAATGGTGTCTACACAAAACTGAGAAGTAAGTACCCAGGCCTCATAGGCTGGCATTGTCTAAACCAGGGGTTCCCAACCCCCGGTCCGCGGACCGGTACCGGGCCGCAGAGGTGTTACTGCCGGGCCGCGAAATAGCTGTGAGTTTATCGTAATATTTGCAGAATTATAAATATATAAAAATATTTTATCATAATATTTTTTCAAAAAGTGTTTAATTTTCGCACCTATGCCACCAGTCATATTATTTCATCCAGTAGCTCGTGCACACGAGCATGTTACCGGTGCGCCAAGTAGGAAGAGGAGCGCACAGGAGACAACCGTTTGATTGCAGACTGTTATGTTTATGTGGGGAAATGGTGGTGCATACATTATTTGAGATATATTTCAAACTCGGACTTCATTTTAAGGACATGTCGGCCAGGGGTGTAGAGCTATTTGTTTAAGCACCGGATTGGCAAAACAGAAGAGTAAACCAGTCTGCCTTGATCTATGAATTAATGTCCGGGACTCTCACGATCTGCTGCCCGCAGCTGCTTTATAGAAGGAAACCCTCCTTCACTTCTTAAAACGGCTGCAGCATCCGGAGGCAGCGGGACGTATACTCCGCTTCTGAGAAGTGCAGCACCAGTATGACTGTGTTTAACTTCATCAGAACAGTTTAAGAGTGACTGCAGGCTGCTACGTGTTAACCACACACACCTATACACACACATCTACACACATCGAACTGCCCGATTACTCCCCCTTTTATTAGTTTTATGAAGGAGATGTCCAGTCAGTCACCAAGGCGCATGATGTGTGTGTGTATGTGCTCTGCTCAGCTCAGCTCTGTGTGTTCGGTGTGTTTGTGTCTGTCCGACACCGGCATTTGTTTTCAAATGTTTATGAACAGTAATTTACACACATATGGCTAACTCCATATATGCGGCTGTTCCCAAAATAAATTAGTTTAATCTTAATCTCGATGTAGTGCTAATGCTGTCGGAGTGCACCGGAACGAACGACACTATCATAATATCTTCTGAAAACAAATGCCAGTGTTCATAATGCGGCTTCTCCTCGTTTTCCCAGCATTCACTGGATTATCCGTAAATCATACAAACAAAACCAAAACGTTAATTTATCTGTTTTTCCCGTTTTGGTTTAAAAACTGAATAACGTCGGTTTTTTTGGTTTTCCGAAAAACCAAAAAATGATACCGGTTCTTTTTTAAACTTTGTTAATATGTTTTGGATGCATATTGTTCTAGTATTTGTTCAGGCTGTTACATACAATTAGCCTCTGTTGCTACCTGCTGGTGGTGAGTAAATATTAAAATCAGTTAAAATTGACAACCGGTCCGCGATTTTTTTTTAATGTATCTGCCGGTCCTTGGCACAATAAAGGTTGGGAACCCCTGGTCTAAACCATAGGTTGGAGTTGTCTGTGTCAGATGCAGTCAAGCACTGCACCAAAACCAACCACTTCACAGCTTTTCTTGACAAGCTATACTGTCTCTATCATCAGTCACCAAAGAACTTAAGAGAGCTTGATGCTGCAGTCTCTGAAGTGGGTGTATGCTTGAGGAAGATTGGTCGCGTCCTCGGGATAAGGTGGGTGGCTTCATCTTTTAGGACAGTAAATGCTGTTTGGACCATGTATGCTGCACTCTATCATCACCTCACATCTGCAAGTGTAGATGTGAACCGTTCCTCAAATGATAGATGCATGTATGAGGGGCTAGCAGCAAAGCTGACGTCAGTTGCTTTTGTTAAAAACCTGGGACTGATGATGGATGCACTTGAGGAGCTGAAAGACCTGTCTGAGGCTCTACAGTCGAGAGACATTAGACTGTCTCAATCAGTAAATCTGATCAAAAGACAGCTAGATGTTTTTAAAACCATGAGCAGGAACCCAGACAGTGGTCTGTTCTACAAAACCGCATGTGAGGCAGAGCAGCAAGGTGTTTTTAATGGCATAACACTACGCAATGACCCAAGGCAGAAGATAATAGATCCCACAAAGTTTTATGCAGCACTATGCAAAAGCATGGAAACAAGGATGGTCACAAGTGAAGAGGAATCCCTCTTTCAAAAGGTCAATGTTCTTGATACAAAGACATGGCCAAGCCCTCTACCATTAATGTATGGTGAGTGTGAAATAAGAGAGCTATGCACTCTTTTGAAAATCGGATTCTCTGGTGTTAAGCAAAGTTATAGGGACTTTAAGGAGAATGCCAGTGTGCCGATGCACATGTCCCTTCTAAAGCTTAAGAATGCAGTGGAAACCATTGCTGTGAGCAGTGCAGAGTGTGAGAGGGGTTTCTCAGAAATGAATGCAGTTGTAACATCAATGCGCTCACAACTGAAAACTCAAAATGTCTCTGCTCTAATGTTCATTCAAATGGTTGGACCTCCTCTTACCTCTTGGGACCCCACGAAATATGTGAGGAAGTGGGTGGCTACCAGAAGGTCTGCAGACCATTTAGCCTGTAGACAAAGATGCACGACTACACAGGCTTCCCCCTATCAGCCCATCTGGGATTTGATGAAGTAGCTGGTCGTACATACAGTAATGTTGTTGAACTGCTTATATTGATGTGGACTTTCATTCCTCAATCAGTTCAGATAGGGTAATGTCTCTGTACTCATATCGTTTTTTTTTTAATGTTCTTGAGTAAGTGTGCAGAGAAATGTTGACTTAAAATGGCAATTTGAAGGTCTGTAATTTGTGAAAAATGTTTGTGTATATATTAATAGTTTCAAATGTAAATTTATTCCAGTTAAATAATACTAATAAAAAGACGGTCTAATTAACATACTTTCTATGTTTACTGTCTCGATTGGTGGCATCAAATAGTGCATCTGATACAGGAGCAGTTGCTTTAGGATTGGGCCTCATATATAGCCCGCTAGCCCCCCCCCCCCCAAAAAAACACAGCCCCCCCACATGTCAAATCCCAATTTAACCCCTGGCTACAGTGTAGATATATCAATGAACATCTGAGGTCACAGGCTCCTCCAACAGAGCAACACAATAACACAGATACAATACTGCGAGTAAATACAAATAGAATAGAAATAGTGCAAGGAGAGTCTATATAAGTAATTGGAATATGATATATTAGATAATGTGTAAGTTGCAAGCAGATGAATGTTATGGATGTTCTTTCAAAAGTTCAGGTGTTTAAAGTCTTGTGGGATGAAACTGTCTGAGTCTGGTGGTTTTATTTAGATAATAATAATACATGACACTTATATAGCACTTTTCTAGAAACTCCAAAAGGTCTCCTATTATTCTATTTGTAGGCATATATATATTATGGGTCTCAGATATATACAAATCTATAAAAACACATGTCTATGATGTGTTTTGCTCCAAGTACCAAACAGATCACCCATTCTAGCCCTGATTGGCCCGTGGGTGGAAAGCCAGCCCACATTTTAGTAATGTCAAAATCTGGATCAGCTCCGTTGTACCCCCGTTTTTAGAGATGTGGGTACGGAGGAAAAGAGAGAGGGGTTTATTTCCTGACGCTGCGTGAGTCTCCTGACACACCGGGGACACATGGTGATGTATAAAAGACATGATAGGAGACCTTTAATGACTGAGGAGGTAAAGACAACAGTAGGGAGACTGTGGCTCAGTGGGGTGGTGCGCTGATCGTCCTGTCAGGGGAGCACTGGTTCAATCCCTAAGCATGTCGTTGTGTCCTTAGGCAAGACAAGTCCCTCCTGTGGGGGTCGCATGTGAGTAGCTTTGGATAAAAGCGTCCAAAAAGGGACATGTAATGTAATATATCTCAATCCTAATTATTCCCTGCTAACTTCCAACACCTGTTAGTTATTAAGGGTGGAGAATCAGAATAGCTTTATTCGTCCCACAGGGGAAATGCACGCTGTCTGTGGCTCTGCAGAAAAGAGCCACAGACAGCTTAATGTTACCTAAGTAGCATGCATTAAAACAATATATAATAAAAGTTACACGATTTGCAAAAAACACATCCTGTAACAGTTCTGAGGATTTAGCAGCCAGGTGTATATTGCACATTTATTAACGGCATTTTGGGGATTGTTTTTTACCCCGATGTGATTTAAACGCAGGCTATACTTTGTGACAGAAGTCTTTCAGACGATGATCTTTCTCAATTTGAGATCTGATCCGATCCCTGCAGAGAGAGACGGCCACATTTATATCAATAAATGAATATTATTTTAATATGATGCCCCTTCTGCTTGGAAAACAGAAGGAGCTGAAACTCTCAGATTTGATCAAGTCCACCTTTAAAGGACAGAGAACAAGAAACCATTGGTCGATGTGATTGCTCTTATATCTCATAATTCAAGTCTTTTTAAATGATAACAGTTTATTTTATCTGCATATTGACTGGGTAATGTGCCGTTTCATTAGTGTTTTACAGCTGTATTCGTCTGCCTGTATTGTTTATGCAGATGCATAGTGCCCCCACGGCCACTAGGGGGCCCCCAAGCTGGGAGCTCAGGTTCAGCCTCAATATATTTGGGGAGAATTAAAATGAGCCGTCTTCATTTGTAGACAGCCAAGCCCCCTCCTGTGTTCGGTGAAGCATTATATGCTTACAAATCAAATGTAGGCAAAGCTGTGGCTTGTGTTTTTGGTGATCAATAACGTCCAAGTCATCGTTAGGCTCTCACCCAATGAGTGACGTCTGAGGAAGATGAAAAATGTAATTGTTGAATAAATGCTGCACCTTATTGTTTACTTTTTTTAAATATAATTTTTGGTAAGTTTCAATTGCTTGTTTTTCCTGAAATCAGCCTGTTTTCCTCGTACAGTGTAACGGACTGATGCGTCTCCACAGATCCTCTCAAAGGCTTGTAGTCCAAACAGCTAGAAGCCTCTCAGACAGGTCGCTCCTAAAAAAGAGACCTTAATCTCATGAGACTTCTACCTGGTTAAATAAAGGATATATATATATATATATTTGAGTGTTTGTGTTTCTGCTTCCAGGCAACGAGCTGCTGTCCCTGGAGAACAAGAAGGGGAGGAACAAAAGTGCAGCGGTGACGTTTGTCAATAAAGACTGGGGTAAGGTTTTTAACCGTGCGCATCATTTTACTTCATTATGTAATAACTGCCACAGTTGAATTTTATAATTAGATATAAGTAATCGAAGGTGCTTAAATTCACACATTTTCTGCAAGAATCAAATATAAGATGTTTTAATATCTTCTTTTATTCAGCGTCTGTAAAGCCTGCTAGTTTATTATTTTAAAAAGTCTGTAGCGGCCAAATCATATAGAAATAAAACAGATAGTTAACTTAAAATGAGGGACCAGTTAGCGAATCTTACGCAGGAATCTCCGTTTGTGCTTTTATAACGTGATCCAATTTCATTAACAAAAGAACAATGAACAGGTTTCCTTGATTCCTTTCCTTAAGCCTTTCCTTGGTGGCTTTCCTTCCTCTTTATCCTGCTTGCATCCCCCTGGTTCTCTACTCCCTAGACCACCTGTCTCCAATATATACAATTACACCAGGTGCCCAAACATGCCTTAAAAAAAAAGCATAAAAACGACTTTAACTCACTTAAATAATAACACTGATTTAAGAATACATTCACTATAAATGTCAAGAAAATAAACGTTTAACTATTAAATAATATAAAGCAAAATATAGCTCCGACAGTGTCAGTAATGTGTCTCCTGCTCGAGCATTTTAATCCCAATATACGTCAGATTATTGAAGGAAAAGCAGGTTTTAATGAAGGGAACTTGTGCCCAATGTGTTGTTTCAGTGCGACGTGTGTCCCGATGTCACACTGACCCAGTTGAGTCACTATGCAGACTGAATGTCTTAACCCTCCTGCTATATTTGTTTTTCTGTCAAATCAATAATATCCCTGGCTCAATGTGACCCAGTGATGTTTAATCATCCACAAATGGTCAGAAACCCCAACATCCTGATTTTTAGACTGTACATAGTTGGTACCTTTTATTACTATCAATGAGTCAATATTTAGTGCAATAGAGCGGAGCAGGGAGGACGTATTCACCCTGAAGTGAGCTGCTGGTTCCCTCGACAGAAAGCAACGGAATTTCTCCGTAGGATTTAGGAAAATAGCTCAAAATAAGTTCTGTGGAAAACGAACCTGTTTGATAAATGCACATTTTGTTCAGCCGGATAATCTCCACATGTCTACCCTACTTTTATAATGTTCTAATGTCCAGAAGCAAAATGCTAACGTGATGCTATAAAGGAACTACAGGCGAGTCCAGCAGCACGACTTCAACGTCACGCCAACTTCAGATCCATATTCAAACACACAGATTCTAAATGGTACGAGTTGAAGCGTTTGTTTGAACAGTCTGCAGGAGGCAGGTACTTGCTTTCAAGCAGAACACGGCAAACTAACTTAGAGGAGTGTTTACGTGTTCGGCGTAATGACGTACAACGTCCTCCACGACTTCTGTAGTCCTATTCAGCCACTTGGTAACAAACATCGTTTCTCAGACACGTACACTCTTCAGAAATCACCAGTGGGGTCACTGCTGATGGATTTAATGTCCTAGAACAAAACGTGACCCGTCTCTTCAATGTGTCTCAATCACAGACCTTATTCACCTCTCACAGATCATGGGTCCATTAGAATAAGTCACTCGTTTTTCCACAAAACATATTCATTCATATTCATTCAAACATATTTCTACATTGGAAAAACCTTGATGTGAAATACATTTAGTTTTGCATAACATTCAACATTTTTTAAATTGTTTTAATGTTCACACTTTTGTTCCATCTGATGTTGATAGAGACGAGACGCCTCTTCGGTTCAGAGTTAAATCGACCCGTTCACTTAGAATCGAGCCAAATGAGTCATAAGGATTTGTATTGAAAGTGTTTTATCATATAGAAATAAAACAGGTAATTAACTTAAGGCACCAGTTAGCGAGTCTTACGCAGGGCAAGAATCTCCGTTTGTGCTTTTATTACACGATCCAATATCATTAACAAAATAACAATGAACAGGTTCACTAATCCTTTCCTTTAGCGTTTATATAATGTTGTGTTTTATATATTTTAAGTGTGTTTTATGAATTTGACTTTGTAAAGTGTCTTTGAGTTTCTAGAAAAGCGCTCTATAAATAAAATGTATTATCAGATGATTGAAGGAAAAGCCGGTTTAATGACATAACGAAGTGACATGTTATGGCTCAATGTGTTGTAGTGCGACGTGTGACCCGATGGCACACTGACCCAGATGAGTCAATATGCAGACTGAATATATCTGGATCCATCTCTGTGTCTAATCCCTCGTGTCTGTGCTCAGCCTGCAGTGAGAAAGCCAAAGCGGAGAAGCTGAAGAAGAGATGGATCCACAAGCAGCAGATCCCCTGCTGACGACATCAAAATACCATCCACCCACCAGAGGAGCCTTTAGGGTGAATTTAACGCACAGAAACCTGGAGGAAGACATCCGGAAAGGCGGTGGACGGACTGATGTTCACTTTTTGCAGCAGCTCAAATCCCTCAGTTCCTCGCGAAGATTCAAGATGCATCCGTTCGAAATGATGTAAAAAACAAATATCACAATATTTCTGTTCGTACACCTCTATCCACCGTGTGAATATATTGGAGGGTTGGCTATTGTTTTTGATTAACAGTCTGGTACAGTTTGTAACCTTACTTACTTTAATGCAGCCGATACGACCAGGAAAAGAATCTTGATCTGTTTCGATTTCACAAATCTAACAAGATATCTAAATAAATTCATTCATTGTCTAACCCTACCTCTCTCCCTCTCTCTCTCTCCTCTCTCTCGCCTCCCTCTCTCTCTCTCTCTCTCTCTCTCTCTCTCCTCTCTCTCCTCTCTCTCCTCCCTCTCCTCTCCTCTCCTCTCTCTCCTCCCTCTCCTCTCTCTCTCTCTCCTCCTCTCCTCCTTCTATTAATAGGGTTGACTATTGTTTTTGATTAATAAATCCAAATCCAAGATGATATCTGCTCTTATATCACGATATTTAAATAATGTCATTCATCGTCTAGCCCTAACTCGAGGGAAAGGAAACACAGGAACATTTGCAGCAGATAATTTTTGTTTTTTTTCAAAACGTTTGTTCTTGTTTCTGAACTGAGACGTTTCTGCATCAGTTCACTAAAGAGCAGAACGTGTGGATTCACAGGTAGACTTTCCACCTGTAGCCTTTATACGTTTAGATCACATGACCTGCTCTTCTCTTTCTGTTTAATGTGTTTCATTAAAAGCTTGTTATTTCTGTAAATATGTTTGAAAGACTGAGATGTGATTAAAAACCTCAGAAAAGAGTCGAGACTTGTTTTTATGCTAAGGTCACGTTTCCTCATCATTTAAACCGGCTAATTCCATATATTATTGGTCTAAATAAGCGTTTAAAGACTACTTTGGGATCAAGTTAATAACAAACTAATGTGCTTTAAGTAGAGACGTACAGATACTATTAAACACCTGAGCTTATGTCTTGTTAATTGCACTGTTGAGGAACCTGTGATTTTAGTTTGTCATGCATTACATAATTTTACATTACATTTAGCTGATGCTTTTATCCAAAGCAATTTACAATGACCAATTACAGGGACATCCTCCCTGGATTAACTGAAGGCTAAGTGCCTTACTCAAGGGCACACTAGTGGTGGTGTTCCTGGCGGGATTTTAACTCACAACCTTCTGATCTTCAGCCCACCTCACTATCCATTAGACCACCACTATCCCTTTATATATACTATAATTACACCGTAGTTTAGTATGTTATGACAATTAAATCTTGAATCAGGTAACTAATAATGAAAGCCAAAGATATGTTTGAGCTAAATTAGAAACTGTTGCTATTACTTTCACTTACAGTAAGTTTGAAAACTGCACAGCACATCACCAGGACGGAGCTGCCATCCATGGAGGACCTTTACTCCCAGCGGCTCAGGAAGAAATCACTACGGATTATCAAAGACCCCCATCACCCCAGCCACAAACTGTTCTTTCTGTTGCCGTCTGGCAGACGTTACCGCAGCATCCTGGCAAGGACAAGAAGATTCGGAGACAGTTGCTTCCCGCGGGCAGTGAGACTGTTAAAAAATTGCACTGCTGAAATAATTTCAAAACATTCTTCTGCTACTCAGTAATATATATCTACTATCTAATATATATCATTCCAATAACTTGTATATAGACTCGTACTGCACTATTCCACATACTCACTTTATTTTAGAATTATTTTTCTTTTTGTATTACTTTTACTATCTGTATTATTATGTTGCATTGTTGGAGAAGCCTGTGACATAAGATTAATTACTCTGTAGCTATGTCAGTTTGACAATAAAGAACCTTGAACCTTGAGATAACACAAATAACCTTATTTTTGCCCGACAAAATGCTTATATTGGTGAGAAGCTAATCAAAGGAGTTGAATTTGAAGTTATTTATCGTTTTTGGGTATTCAAATGTTAGTTTTGGGGTTAAAAATGTAATATTGTGCAGGTTTTCATGTCACAATTAATCCTGCAAATGTTGTTTCCCATTACAGACTCAGATTAACCACTAATTTAAATTATAGGCTTATTTATCGATGTTTGGTCAGTTATTAAGAGGGTCCAGATATTACAAGTGGACTTTCCCTTTGAGGATACATATATAGGTAAGTGTTATTAGAATAAAATCACTTTTTTTAGGGTCATTTCTTGGAAAAACTGGATAAAACAGTAATTTAGAAACTGTCGGTACCACTCACTTAAGTTTGACCAACAGATAACCTTATTTTTGAACAGTAACATGACTTATAAAAGGCATATATTGGTGAGATTTAGCAAATTAAAGGAGTTATTCATTTAATTTTAAGTTGCTTATAGTTTTTTGGTACTCAAATGTTAGTTTTGGCTTTAAAAATGTAATATTGTCCAGGTTTTCATGTCACAACTAATTCTGCAAATGTTATTTTTACGTTTCTTTCCCATTACAGACTCACAGATTAACCACTAATTTAAATTATAGGTTTATTTCTATATGTTTGATCAGTTATTTAGAGGTTTTATAGGTGGACTTTTCCTTTGAGGATACATATGCACTGGAAAAAAATGCTGTTTTCACTTGAAATAAGTACAAAAATCTGCCAATAGAACAAGTGAACATGTGCTTGATAAGATTTATTGAAATAAGACGGGATATTTAGATAAATCAGATCTTGTAATTAGCTGGAGAACTCATTTTGAACTATATTTGACCAGAATCAGGAAATGTGTTTCAATATAAGTTCAAAAGTGATTCTGTTTTCTGTTAGTTGGTGATTTTCTACAAAATATGTGTTTCATCTGAGATACAACTCAAAATAAGATGTTTTGTTTTTTCTCACTGCAGTACTTCTGAAGTTATTGTGTCTTATCTCAGGTGTAGAGACATATTCTAGAGATGTTAGACACATATACTGGGCAAGATTTAGAGTTTTTGTAGTGTGTGGGTAAGTGTTATTAGAATAAAATCACCTTTAAGGATAGTTTCTTGTCAAACAGGATAAAACAGTCCCCTCTCCAGGCGTCATGCAGCATCCAGACTCGTCAACCATCGTTTGTCATTTTTTTAATATAAATCTTTTCACCCTCACACAAATTGCACTTTTTTTTTCTCCAAATGGACACACAGTCAGCAGAGGACAACTTACTGGTTGACATCTTCCTTACACACCGTTAACCGGCTAACAGGAGGAGAAACAAAAAAGAATAAAATAAGAGACATCTAACTTGATCTTACCACCACTTTACTATGGCATGCATAGGTTTCAGACCGTACTCAGAAAATGACAACAGACACTTTGTCTAAGAAGTTTTCTAAACGATGCCGTGACTGCTTGCGATCCGAAAAACAAACGAAGAGAAACCAAGGGACAGAAAAGCTCGGTTCCTCCAGAGACCCTTCCCCAAGTATTTGGTTCTTTATTTTTGTAAATGTGGTGTTGACAATACTGAAGGTTTTTTTATTGTTCCTGTCGATGCTTTTAGAAACACAAGGAGGACTCTGTAACAAAACTGAAAAGCTAGTGAGAAGAGAAAGCTTTCCTCTGAGGGACGATAAGCAAACTTTAGGGCCTTTCATTCCTGAAAGAGTGGTGCAGGAATGAGTTAGCATTTTAGCACTTCCTGTTCCCTCTGTAAGTCAATGGGCTGGGGTTAACACAAACTGAAGAGATTTTTATTTTTACCACAATAAATACGTCAGTAAATAAATACCCCACTGGTGAATTTTAAAACGCCGGTTGCTAACAAGTCTGAATGAGATGACTAAACGCCATCACGCCCAACATTAGCCACCTTTAGCTTAGCGGTGGGGACGTGAAGTCATGTGACCGTGTTGTAGTTTCTTTATAGCCCAACATTAGCCGCCTTTAGCCACAGGGATTATTTTCTGCAATAATCCAATAGAGAAATCCTATTGGCTTTTTCTAAAGGGAACCAGGAAGATGCACATTTTCAAAAATACAAAATTGCTGCACCACTCTATTTCAACTGGAGCTATATAAATGATAACTTGTTTATAGGCAAAATGCTACTAGAGAGATCAAACTAGGTTGAGGTTTATTATCTGACAAACTGAAAACTAAGACAATTTACTTTTGCTACCCAACATTAACCCAAACCAGAAATAACAGAAATGTCGGCTAATAATTCAGCACATATCCCCTTGGTGTTTGATTTGAATGTATAGATGATAAAAACAAGAGGTCGAATGTGTGGGGGCGGCTAACTTCAGCGAGATAACTAGCTTTAGCCACGATTAAATAAAGAGAACTGGATACCCTGATGGAGGTATTGCTCATTTGCGCAGTTTATAAAATAACCCTTATTTTCTGCGTCTATGGGCCCATAGAGCAGGCGCACAAGCATCTCCTCGTTTTAATGAACAGAGAACGGACTTTGTAATTGGATAGAAGTGCATTTTAAAACTTGTATGGACCTTATGATTTAAAATGAGGGCTACTTGAGTGTTAATATGTTGATTAAAAATGTGTCTCCTCAGATGTAGGTCTGGTTTGGCCACTACTGAAAATGGCCTCAAAGCCTGGCTCTGTTCCTCAGGGTTTGGCTAATTAGCCTAGCCTGCTAGCTTCCACTTTTTGAGTGCAATACAAATGCAACGAGTCACCCAAAATGTCAACAGGGGAAACACAGCTTGAACACGTGTTGAAACGGGGAGAAAAAATAAACGTGTATAAACATTTAGGGGCGTTAACTCTACAGGGTCACGATCTCTTCGCAGCACAGAAGTTGCTATGCCGTCTCTGTGTTGTCATTAAAAAAAGTCCACTCTTTCCGCTTAAAGCTTAAAAACGGTTTCCACAAATAAACCCAAAGATACTTCCTTTTTTTGTAAAATAAAGTAGCGTGAACGTTGCTGCAGTCTCGTTATCTTTCCCTCTGTAAAAGTGACCCAAAGCGAGAGAGAGAGGCGCACTTCATCGCAGCTCAGTTTCGCCGTCGCTTGTTTTTCCCGGCGGTCGAGTCTGAAGCGTTTTTTTTTTTTTTTTAAATACAAAATAAAACGAGTCCACCTGTAATCGAGGGGTCTGTCGGCCGATTCTAAAACCATGAGGAGGAACAAAGGGACATGTTTGGCTCCTGAGTTCTTTGTGGGTTAATTAGGGGTTTAGCATAGACATCCATACGAAAATAAAGATTAACAACGTTTGCATCAAACCTGCTGTGCAGCGGGGGATTTAACGAGTAAAAACGGGGGTCAGAGGTCATCGCAGGGTTCCTGCACAGGGTCGACTTCTCAGAAAATCCAGAAAGGTTTAGAGAGTTTTACCAAATGTAGCTAGGCTGTGGTCAAGACATTACTTTACGGCCAGTAACAAAATATGTGAAATTAAAGTTCCAGATATCCTTTAGTTTAAGTTTGTTTTCCATTATCTTAAAGACCTTGAAATGGTCAGATGTGTAATTGTTCCCCTGCATAGGAACCCTGGACAAAAGAAAACAGGCGACATAAGAACTCGACGCTTCAGGAGTCACTGATGTCGGTACAAAGCATTGGGTTGTTTTTTTTTTTTCAACGATTTCCTTTCATTTGATAACTAAATATCTCACTCTATTGATATAATTCCATTTTTGTTAAATTCATATATAAACGTTAACATGTACACACTGGTGATCGATGGGATCGGGACCTTTATTATAGTAACTGGAACTTGCTCTTGCTGGCGCTCAACAAATATACTGTGAATGCAAGTAACAATAATTAATATAATGATAATTAAGAATAATAATAATAATAATAATAGTCTGCGCCGATGCCTTGTAAACCTTGAAAAAAAAACAAAAACAAGAGCCAGGTAACCATCTCCCCCCCCCCCCCCCCCTCCCGCTCATGAAAACAAAACAGAATATTAAAAACAGGGAGTTCAGACTGTAGATTCTCTCCGGCTTCTTCAAAGTCCCGAGTCCACATGCGCCACACAAATCTCAGATAATGTCCTGAAGTGAGTGGAGGTGTGAAAGGGGGAGAAAGGGGGAGAAAGGGGGGTGAAAGGGGGGATTTAGGCTATCCTTAATGGAGCCTTAAGTTGACCGGAGATCAAATGGAGATGTATTTTCCGTCCTGTTTTCAGCATCAGCCTGTCGCGTGTGTTATATATGTGTGTGAGTGTGTGTACCTGGTTTACAGGGACCACTCGTCGGTTTTCTACTTGTTTTTTCTACTTATGTTTGACCAGGGGTTTCTTTTTTTGTCAGTCGGTCGGTTTGTATACAGAGTTTTTTTTCAAGTCGGCTACCCTTTTAATAGCGTCTTCACACCGTCAGTCAGAAAGACGCAGCCTTGCAGGACTGTAGGAGGAGGGGAAAGAGGGGTTTGTTTGCGAGGTGTTTTTTCTCATATTTACGATGGAAAGGGATGTTGTGTGTGTTTTTGTTTTTTAAATGTATGATGTGTTAGCAATCTAAAAAACCTGCCCAGAAACGTCTCCTGGTCCTCAGCGGTGAGCAGAAGCGAGTGAACTTTCGCCTACTTTTTTTTTTTTATCGGAGCGTTAATACGACTTCACTGATGGAGGAGGTGGAAGGAGGCATTTCTGGACAGTTCCTCAGAGTGTGTGTGTGTGTGTGTGTTGTGTTTAAGCATGGGGCTAGTGCAGGTAATCGTCCACAGAGGCGAAGGCGCAGGATCCGGTGCCGGTGCGTGCCATGATGGAGAGGCACTGCGCCGCCTGACCCACCGCCTGGGCGAGGGGGGGCTGCTTCGGCAGGTTGTGAGTCTCTGGAGGAAGAGGAGGGAACAACAACAACGTCAGGACTGAAGGTAAGAAGTACTCAAATATTCTATTTAAGTAAAGGTATTAAAACGATATTTAATTTCATATTCTGTTCTTGTACATATCATATTCTGTTTACATGTATATATAGACTTTTGCCCTACTTTTCATTTAATTTTATTATATATGTTGCATTGTTGGAGGAGTACGGGTCAGAAGAATTTCAGTGCCATTTCTACACTGTAGCTCTGAGCATATGACAACACCTTTGAATCTAATACTGAATTGTTAAAATACTCCTTTACAAGTAAAGATTCAAGGCTTTTATCGTCATGTGTTCATAGCTAAAGTTGTAAACAGATGAATGTTATGGATGTTCTTTCAAAACTTCAGGTGTTTAACAGACTGATGCTGCGTTCACACCGGACGCGATGCGATGTTTTGGGGCGGCGCGATTACATGCAAAGTCAATGCAACGACGGCGAGCATGAAGCGGTTGATGCGAATGCCGCGGCGCGATTGAGGCGATTGGAGGGAGCAAATATGTTAATTTGGTTGTAGTTGTAGCTCCCTAGCCAGCGAGACTTGTTTGAATGATGTGAGTAAACACAGCTGACAGCCGCGGTGAAACTCGAGCGTTTAGAGCAATGCGAATATTCACATCGCGTCCCGTGTGAACGCAGCATTATGGCCCGTGGGATGAAACCGTCTCTGAGTCTAGTGGTTTCTGTCCTGAAGCAGCAGACGGAACAGTTTGTTGGTGGGGGGGGATGGGGGTCTTTGATAATGGCTACGTACCTAGTATTGCACTGTTGAGGGTGGAGCAGACGGGCTCTCTCTGGATGGCGTCCAGCTGGAAACCCACCGGGCTGCTCCAGGGGTCCGAGTACGCCAGCAGGCTGAAGGCATCCTGCAGCAGGACACAAAATACAGATATGTTGAAGGTATCTGTTTTATTACTGCACATATTTTATTCCATTCTATTTCAATGTAATTACTGCTTTATTTTACTATATTTCTTCTTATTTTTAAATATTATTATAGTGTTCTTAAAATAGTTCTCTAGCTGTGTTTTTTTTTAAATTTAATTTGTATGTATGCACCACGACATCAAGTCAAATTCCTCGTGCGTGTCAACCTACCTGGTGATAAACCTGAGTCTGATATCAGGAGATAAAGGGAGGTCAAAATGTTATATCTTCTTGAAAAACAACTGGTTAGTTTGGTGTTGTTGTAGCGTGTTACAATTTAAATAATAGTTCAACACTAACTTATAGACAAATTACTGAATTTCCCCACAGGGATTATTAAAGGTCCATCTTATCTTATTATTACTTACGCTTCATTTGTACAAAAACTGAAGCGTTTAAGTGCCAAGTCGCAGTTTGAGGATGGCTCATGTCCAGATTATTTTCTACAAAAAGTATTTAAAGGGGACCTATCATTCAAAATGCACTTTGTGATGTCTTTGATACATAAACATGTGTCCCCGGTGTGTCAGGGAACTCACGCAGCGTCAGAACATAAAACCCTCTCTCTTTTCCTCCGTACCCAAATCTCTAAAAACGGGGGAACAACGGAGCTGATCCAGATTTGCGTCCGATATGACGTAATATCTGAAATGTGGACCCACGGCACTATCAGAAAGTTGCTATCAGAAACAATGCCCGACTGTTTTGGACGTAATATGGTCTGTGTTTACATTAGCATCGCTAACACTCAGAGCTAACCTGTACTGGAGAGCATGTGTGTGAAGAAGCAGGAAATAAAAAGGAACTCACCTTATGGTATAACCGGCAAGAGAGAAAGCCTTTGAGCTCCATACTGTTTCAGAAACAATCCTTGATAATCCATGATATGGCGTTTCATCACGGCAGCATTTAGTTTAGACAGTAGCTGCCGGGTCCCGCATGAGCTCAGACCCCTCCTTTTTTAATCAATATATATATTTTTTTAAGCTTTATACCCAAAATCAGCACTTTTGAAACAGGAAGTGAAATAGAGGGATATGAGGCATGGCTAGAATGGGTGATCTGTTTGGTATTTTGAGCAAAACACTTCATAGACATGTTTTTTATATATTTGTATATATCTGAGACCTATGCTATTGCCTAAAAATAGCATGAGAGGTCACCTTTAAATAAAAATATGATTTTGTTAAAGGTAGGGTAGGTAAGTTTGAGAAACCGGCTCGAGATCGCTAGAATTTGAAAATGCACAACCGGAGAAAATCTGCCACTTCCTTATAGAGCCCCTCCTCCAACACACACGAACGCGCACATGACCAATGAGGGCACGAGATAAGTTTGTGCACAGATGGAAGGCTGACAGGCAGGTAGGCCATCCAGTTACTTAGCCGGGCCGGCTCAGATGATTGGTCGTACTTTTTACAGTACTACGGCTTCCACAGATGACTGATTTTTTGTCAAAGCACTTCAGATATTCATTGCTATCGGGATGTTAAGAGCATTCCATGGAATATAACAAAAAGTGTATCTCGAGCCGGTTTCTCAAACTTACCTACCCCACCTTTAAGTTGCATTGAACAAAAATGATGAGAATTTATTTAGTTTTTTGTCCGAATATCTCAGTCTCTGCTGCTTCAGTTTTCCTTTTTTTTACATTTTTGTATTCATGCTATTGCCACCTGAATCAAGTCATACTAATAACACTGTATATACACCTCTATTTCAGTTAAGGTTGTTTATGTTTCTTCAAAATGCTTTTCAACATATTATAGCTTGCCGTGTATCAGTAAGAAAAGCACACGTGTATAATGCCTGAAACGTTAAAGACAGTCCTGACGCAGAGCTACAGGAGCTTTACCTACAGAAAAACCACCTCATTTAACGATAGTTTTCCACTTGGCGATTCCTGTTACCTTCAGCATCTTCTTGTTGGTGGAGTTCTTCCCACACTCGCGGCGCAGATGTTCGCTCATGCTCTGCAGCTCGCGGCCGAAGTGGATCATCCTCTCGATCGCCGCCTGGCTGCCGCCGCACAGCTGCCTCTTCGACTGAGCCGACTCCACCTCTGCAGAAGAGAAGAGAATCATTTAATGTCCTGACGGCCCGTCCACACAACGCACGCCGCTGTGTGGACGGGCCGTTATACATGTACAAGGAAAGAAAGGAAAGCTTCTCCCTTTCAAAAAGGTGCCATCAAAACAAAAACATCACAACAACAAATACACGCAGCAGCATACATACTAATGTAAGAATAAAGTGCAGTCATTATTTCCAGGGGTAACATTTTTTTTTTAATAAATAATAATAGCTATCGAGACATTCAACAGGTAAAAGAGAGAGGGAACATATACAGCACAGTCATTTAGATGGAGCGCTTATACTTATATGTGTAATGACAGCAAGGGTAATAGGGCTGTATATACACACACACCACATGTATATCTTTTAATGCTATTTTATTTCTATTGAGATGTTTAAATTTTCATGTTTATTTCTAGTCTTTTAATTGTTATCGTACACTGCCATGTCTTTTTATGCTTTAGAGAGGGAATATATACAGCACAGGCACTTGGATGGAGCGCGAGGGTAATAAAGCTGCATGATTAATACAAATGTGAATATGGTTCTGTGCAATATCCAAAATGCAGAAAGCACAATATCCATTTGAGTCTAAATATGTGTTATAGTACATTTTGAAGGAAGTACTGTTGAGATTCAGAGACATCCGGACCTACAATCATGTTATAGAGACTTAACAAAACATAACTGTTGTTACAGATCCTCAAAAGTAAAAAAATAAGTAATAACCTATTACTACTAACGAGTAGAATAAGCCTAAAAGAAAGAGAATAAAACTGGTATAAATATATACATAATTAGCCTGTTTTCATTTGTATTCTCGCTGCTTTTTAATTAACATGTAACTTTAAATTGTGTTTATTTTCCACGGTGTCTATTGCCGTCTCATTCCCTAATAGTCATGGGGTAAAAGGGAAGTAACAACAGATGAAATAACCGAGAGACAAAGCGACTGATTTGCTAAAGATGTTGGTGAATAAATCAAAAACAAAGAGGGCTCATTATTTACTAAACAACACATTTCTTACAGTAGAAAGCAACAAAACAAACAGTAACAGACAGTAGCGTAGCAATTGCTTTTAATGTTGGTGTATTGGCTAAAATGTGCTTTATACATAAACGTACCTTTCCTTACCAGTGGCATATTTACCCAGAATGATTGATGTATGTATCCATGCTGATAAACGCTCTAATATAGTAGTTATTACATCCACACACTTTACGTACCCATGTCTGCCTCACACTCGTCGGGCTCGGTCACGTGTTTGGAGCCGTTGAGGAAACCGTTGGAGGACGACTCTGTGACTCCGTTGGAGACGTGGTCCACCTCCATGTCCACATCGCTACTGAGGACAGACAGAGGGTTGTTATGGGCAACAGATCACTACAACTCCAAATACTTCACCTTAATAAAGGAAGGATGAGTGGTGATATTATAGTCACTGAGGATTAAAACCATGAGTGTCATCTCATGTCGAAAACTTTCTTGCAGACATGTTTGAAGTCAACAACTCACGCCTAGGTGTTCCTTTTTGTGTTAAATGTATGCATTTGAAGTATTATTAACTGAGAAATAGTTGTATTAAGTTACCCTTACTGCAAGTTATCCAACATTTCCTAATGATGCAGCTTCCCACTTACCTGGTAAAAGGTAAAGGGTGGCCGGGTATATTGTTTGTGCAACTTAAGACTGTTGTTTGGAAGGAGATCTTTGGTCAGTATTATATTAAACTCACATGCTATCTCTTTGCATTGACATGCTTTGTACAATAGTCTCATTTATACAGCATCCTTTGTTTGTATTCAAGCTTTAGCCGTTATATAATATATTCTAACGTATTTCCTAACATGTTATATTGAGTAATCTTAGATTCTATAGATATACATTCATAGTGTTGATTTCTATATATATTTACTGTGTCTTTTTTCTGTTCCATGCCATGAAAACCTGCTGCTGTTGTGAACAGGATCATTTCCTAAATTGGGATCAATACAGTACTGCTACGTACCTATATCTATCTATCTATCTATAAATCTACCTATATCTATCTATCTATCTATAAATCTATCTATCTATCAATCTATCTCTTGTAGACTACAGCAGTTTTCCTACATTATCATATAAGAGTTTATCCTCTCAGAATATCTGCAGAGTTTAGAGTCAGTCAGATTTAAAGTATTCTTGTTTCTCACAGTAATATATTTATGTAGATTTATACCCTTGAAGTGAATGTGGATTTAAGTTTCCTGTGTGGGCGTTGCAGTGTCTGAGGGGTTTAATAACAATAGAGCATGAATAAGCAAATTAAAAGAGTGTGTGTGTGTGTGTGTGTTAGGGATGTGCATCTCCATCACTGAGGCCGATGCGCATCTCGATACGTTGCCACGATACGACACATTAACGATACATTTGAAACACCAGGCGATACGATACGATTCACTCCTGTTGCGATACACTTCGATAAGATTTGATTCAACATTATGCGATACAGGGCGATACGATGCGATTCAACACGATGCAAAATAATGATACTTCAATATGGTACGACAGAGGATTTTGTTCTATTCCTTATATGCAGCAAATCATACATTAACAAAAAAGTGCTTGATTTGTTTTGTAAAGCACTTTGAATTGTCGCGTACAGAAAAGTGCTATATAAATAAACTTGCCTTACATATTTGGTTCTCTCTACTAGTACTTGCTCATCCCATCATGTAGTTTCTTTTTTACCTTTTTTTATAACACCTCACAGTTAAACAATTTAAGGATGCATTGCCCAGGATTAACAATGTGCAAACAACTACCATAGTGCAGTGCCCATACAGCTGCTGACTGATGTGCTTAACACTCATTCATAGGCTAACTCACCAGTGAGCAGAAAGCAGTGGTTTCTATAGGAACAATGAAGAAAATAACCTTTCACAAACAGGTCTTTCATAACTGCTTACAGTAAGGAAGACATTTAAACTATTATTGGCAGTCACAGGCTGTTATAAACTAAACACCACTCTCTCTGACAGAACACCTCACTGAGTGATTGAACTCATGTCTAACTTTCAGGTTTCTCTTTCAGCCGCAGACCCCATGTCGCCTCTTTATGTGCGTCGCTAAGTTCCTCGTACTACTTGTGTACTTTAAAGCGGCACGGCATCGTTTACAATTTGCGAGCGATTTTTCAAGTTGACCGTCTTTCTTGAAAAATCCGAAGTGTTGCCTAACGTTTGATTTGTAGGTATTTTTCGGTGCGCAGTGTTTGTCTTTCTCCTCGACTTCCATGTGTGTTGATAACTGAGACTCTCGGCCTCCGTAGTGCGAAGCAAAGATCAAAGATCGTCTCTGCTGAGTGCTGACAGGATGAGAGGATATTATATGAATGAATCGTTTTTTTACCGACGCAAAGACGCTACAATCGATGCATCACGAGTTCAACCCAAACTGTAGCCGATGTGCACTCTTTCAATCGGTGCACTCGCATCTTGAACGTTTATGCCGGTGCACCGATGCGAATCGGTGAATCTTAACATCCCGTGTGTGTGTGTGTGTGTGTGTGTGTGTGTGTGTGTGTGTGTGTGTGTGTGTGTGTGTGTGTGTGTGTGTGTGTGTGTGTGTGTGTGTGTAGTACCTGGTGAGGGGCGTCTGGCTGTGGCTCCCGTTGAGACTGACGTCAGACGGAGGGGGGGGGGGAGGCGGGGGGGCAGGGCTTGTGACTGTGAGGGGGGGGTGCTGTGGCTCTTATTGGACGTCACTCCATTACAGCAGGTACTGTCGGACCCTGAACACAACAGGGGAGAGAGGGACAGGTTTAAAATATTACTTTTATTTTCATTTCTCAACAGCCACAAAATGTTACAATAACAAATCATGACAAAACATAACACAAACAACAAAAAGAAGCCGTTATTTGACTTTTAATGAAATGTTATTCTTGTTTATTAAGCCCCGTCTTACTTCTATTGCTATTTAATGTTTTATCAATCACAAAGTCACGTGTTGTCTATGGACTGTTTTAGTTTTAGTTTTGTGAAGCCTCCCATCACTAACCTTTTTGTGTAAGAAAGGTTCTATATAAATAAAGTTTGTACTGATTTGATTGATATAAAGAAGGCTCTGCTTATACTGATGACCTCGCTTACTAAACCAGATTCATGCGTTTCCTATTTAAAAAAAGGTGCAGCTCTATTTACGAGCAGCAAAGACTGCATTTCTGACGCCTAACCTTGAAACGGTTAAACACTGGTAACGTTTTTATTTTGTGGTAAAACTTTATTATTAAATTGTGCTAAACTTCTAAAATCATGGAAATAATAACAGTCAAGTATTGTTGTTGCTACTTGCATTTTAGGCAAGGCAAGGCACAAATACAAGACTGTTATTAACGAATGACCTAAAGATAACTCTTCATGCAGTGCACAGATACCATTAGTGTTCAAGCTGCTCAAACTAAACACGTTTTCCAGATACAGAAACTCGGCTGTAAAAAGGTAATTGTTGTCCGTGTGTAACATGGAGAAGAATATATATATATTTATGTATCCGTGTACCTGGCAGGGAGCCGCTGGCTTTGTGGCTCGGGCTGAAGGGCCGGGGGGGAGGCGGGGGTAAATGTCCTGAGACTTTGGGCTGCGACCCCCAGACATCTCACCTCACTGTCCGTCCCGTTCACCATCTCTATGAACTGTCTCACTCTGAGGGGGAGAAGGGAAGGGAGAGAGGGAGAGAGGAAGAGACAGAGGAAGAAGGAGAGAAGATGGAAATACAGACGAAAAGAAACAAGGAGTAAACAGAAAAGACAACAGATGGGAAGTAGACCATGAAAGGAAGTAAAGAAAACAGAAAAAAATTCATTAAATAATCTGAATATTATAGTTTAAAAAGACAGGTCAGGTTATAGAAAAAGCTAAATACGGGTGTATATAACAGCGGTAAAAATAACTTGATCTCCCCTTGCAAGATTAAGTTAACTTTATTTTCCTAATTTCTTTAAATATCACTTTTCCATGTTGATGCTTAAATCACAATCACCCCCTTAAAGTATTCAGTTTCAATAAAAGCCAAAGATGCCACAAGAAGCGCACCATTAACTTTTTGATGGCTAATCTTCAGGAATTTGTTGAAAAGTCGTCTATATTTTAGTTTGTTTGAAGTAATAACAGGCTCCTAATGATCTTCCAGTAACAACAGGTGTATATAATATATAATATATAATAGGTGATTTAATTCAATAAACTGTGAAAAACAACATTTTGAGTCAGCGGGGGGGTCGTACTTGAGCATGAAGAGCAGGTCAGGGTTCCTCTCCAGCAGAGTGGGGTACAGCTGCGTGGTCGTCTCGATGGCCTCGCCCAATTCTGCCCGACAACACCAGCTTCTTGGATCTCTGCACGGCGACAGGGAGCATGTTCGTCAGAGCTGAGACTTCAAACTTTTTATTACAATTTGTATTTTACTGTGTGTAATCCATTCATTCCATTCTTCTCCCGCTTATCCGTGGTCGGGGAGGTGTGTAATGTGCCGACCAAGGTTTGCTTTAATTAGGATATATTTCGTATAACTTAAAATTGTCAGCGAGATTTCTTTACACACGGCTTTTTCCACCTTACTTTTAGCGGTCAAGCTTTCAACTTCCTTCAGATTTGAGAATAGTTCTGGTTCCCATGTTTAATCTGTTAGATCATCATTCATGAGGACTCACTCTGTCTGTTTTTGATGGAGGCCAGCTCCTCGTGCACGGCCTGGTCTGTGGATTTAGCGAAAGCTTCAGCCGTGGCGCAGTAGCTGTGATGAACCAGGTAGGAAGCCACCATCCTGAGAAGACAAAACAGACTCAGGGATTAGACACAGCAAGGGAGGAATCATTAAGAGCGTTTTACACTCAACAGATACGAGCATTTATTAAAAGGTAGGTAAGAATGGAGAAAGCAGCTCGAGTGCGCTAGAATTTGAAAATACGCAGCCAAAAAAAAATCTGCCCCTTCCTTCAGACTTCCTCACAGAGCCCCTCCTCCAACACACACGAACGTGCACATGACCAATGAGGGCACGAGATAAGTTTGTGCACAGATGGAAGGCTGACAGGCAGGTAGGCCATCCAGTTATTTAGCCGGGCCGGCTCAGATGATTGGTCGTGCTTTTTACAGCGCCACAGCTTCCACAGATGACATTTTTTTTATGGATTTATTGTCAAAGCACTTCAGATATTCATTGCTATCGGGATGTTAAGAGCATTCCATGGAATATAACAAGTGTTTCTGAAGTGAATGACCTACCCCACCTTTAACTTTCATCACACACGCACACGATCAGACATGTAATTTAACTTCATGAACAGAAAACAAATCTTTCATGTATGTACAATTCTTGACCCGAGAACTCAAGAAAGTACAGGAAATGTCAAATTCGGTCAACAACCAAACTATAAAATGTGTTTTTGGTAACCAAGTATTGGTATTTCGTTTTAATAATTGTATATATAATACCCACTGCTGAAATGAATCCCATTCTGTGCATGATTCCCTTTTAAGATCTTAGAATAGTGTAAATAGCAAAACAATAAAATTAGGCAATAAAAACAAGCAAGGACACTTTTAGATGAGGAGCAAAACTGTTAGTCTATCTAAATACGTTTATTAAAATATCTGATAAAAAATCCATGTATTATAGAGAAGTGAATTCAACCAAGTTTGTTTACCAAGTTTAACAACGGACAGATTGGGTCATAATTTGTCTTTAAATTAATATTTTTTTATGTCCATTGCAAAATGTAGCTTGTTTCCTATTTCTATGACCGCATGAATTTGAGGAATTAATTTTAATTAAACAAATATTTTCATCACAGATATAGAAGGTCACTAAAAGAACAAAAATAAGTTGTATGAAACCAGAATTATGCTTCAAGAACGTGTGTAAAATATCCGTTTAATGTGTCCAAGTATGCTGACTTTTTCATGGGAAAATGATGAAGCCACCCCTCCATCAGTACTAAGATGACCCACAATGCAACAGTGCTTTAAAAGGATGAGACCCAGTGTAATATTTGCACTTTGCGCCTCTCGTGACGTGTTTGCAGAGCTGCAGGAACACGATGACCACAAATCTCCTGCAGAGACAATAACACATCCAACCAATGGGACGCAAGCACGCCAACTGTTTTCAATCCCACGCAGTAAGGCGACTTTCCTGGATAAAAGGCGACGGCTCCCTCCACCCCCCAATCCCCATCAAATGGAGATTAAATCCCTTCGGGACCATTAATCATAGCAACAGAGGGCTAATCCCATCAGCATGAAGAGAGACAGAGCTTTCACTTCTGGATCACGACTCTCCATCATATCAGCACTGATTCCCTGTCACCTAAAGTGTCCAAAACTTCCTTTTAGTCATTAATTCAGCATTGCTAGTAAAACTGCCCTAAATACAGTTTAAGTCATGGTAAGTGACCTGAATGCTCCAAAATTGTAAATCAACTATAGGTTTGCTGTAGTAGTCGGTTAAAAATGGTTTTAAAATATAAATAAAACTTTGTTACAATTTTCATAACGTTACTGTTGGTGTTACGTTACAAGACCTCCTACTAAATAGAGTGGTGCAGGAATGAGTCATAAACCCTGGAAATGAGTCAGCATTTTAGCCCTTCCTGTTCCCTTGTGTGGAGGGTCAATGATTTTCTGAATGTGTTTTTGGTTTTAAATGTTATGGCAATCATGGTATTAAAGCTTAATACAGCGTAACTTTTAACTAAGTAGTATCCTTTCAAGTGTTTTAAATCCTTATGTCTAAGAACATTTGGTCTGTGTTCACGGGGATAAGATGAAGGGTTTTATAACACTACAGGAAAGGAAGACATTTGCTCTAGGGGGGGGAAGCTAACGACATACAACTGGTCTTTGTAGGGTGTGAGTTTGCTTATTGTGATACCACCTGGGCCCAAATGTTGTTGTGTTGTCAGGCGAATGATCTTTGATGTTTCCCTATAAGAGAGTCTGTCTCACACAGAGCACTCAGGAGGAGTCATGCTTGCAAGCATTAAAAGAAAATATCTTAAAAGACTTTATATCGATATTGTGTTTCTTTGCCTAACTCATCATTTTCTCTACAGCAGCTGATTTTAAGGTCGTATTCACACCTAATCGTCCGCTACAAAACAGTTTGTTACATCGTTTTATTTTTCAGAAGGTTCGGTTTGCGTTCACACGGGCAAAACTCAAACGGACAATAAACTTTAAACACAAGTCATGTGCTCGGAAATGCTGTTCAACAATTGGTCAGATATTAAGGGGGTAAAAACGCAAATCCCGGCAATTTCTACCGTGGCTTTGGAGCATCGGCAGGTTATTTTCATGCTGCTGTTAATCTGGAGAGCTGAGAGCATATCAACAGACTAGCAGACGGCGCATATGATTATATAAAAAAAACATTATAACATATGAGACGTTCTGCAGTCAGGAGGAGGGTTCACTGACGACAGGTGGCTCTGACTTTTATGTATAGTTGACGGAGAATTTTTACTTCACTGTTCAACACTTCATTCTGCTTCTCTCTTTCGCTAAAGATTTTGAAGACATCCGCGTTCTTGTGACTCGTAAATACTACGCTTCCTGTGTTTTGGTGCGGACTGCGTTCACACCAGCGATGAACGGCTCCAGAGTTCACTAGAGAGCGGTCCGAGATCACCTCTTCTAGGTTGTTTAGTTCACTTCAGAGGTCTCAGACCGATCCAAACAAACCACACCAAGCGGCTAAACGCACCAGGGTTCGATTCAACCAGACTAAACAAGGCTGGTGTGAATGCGACCTAAGTTGCTACGACATTTGCCTGAAATAAGGTCTAAAAGTGTTTGTTTACACCACAATAATTACTTTTACAATCATCTTACTTCTGGATCATGGACTGCCACTCGCCCTCTCGCTCTCCGATGGGGAAGCGGTCGATCTGCGCCTGGATTTTCGTCCTCCATTCGCGCATGTAGTCCTCGATGTCGAACACAAAGGGGTGCTGCCCGAAGTTTGCGTCCACCACCTCCCCTGGAGTCTGGAGACCGCACGGTCGGGTACAAGTTCGGCCTGCAGCAGAGAGAAATTAAAGAATACAGTGGTTAAGCCACCTGGAAAACACCTCCAATGGACTCCGTTGTTTACATTAGTGACATCACTGTGATCACTGGTGCTTCTATTGGCACTACATACTGATACACACCTGAACATCAGCAGGAGAGGACTCTTTAAAGTAGAGACACTACATACTGATATACACCTGAACATCAGCAGAGAGAGGACTCTTTAAAGTAGAGACAAGCTACATACTGATATACACCTGAACATCAGGCAGGAGGAGGACTCTTTAAAGTAGAGACACTACATACTGATATACACCTGAACATCAGCAGGAGAGGGACTCTTTAAAGTAGAGACACTACATACTGATATACACCTGAACATCAGCAGGAGAGGACTCTTTAAAGTAGAGACACTACATACTGATATACAACCTGAATATCAGCAGGAGAGGACTTCTTTAAGTAGAGACACTACATACTGATATACACCTGAACATCAGCAGGAAGAGGACTCTTTAAAGTAGAGACACTACATACTGATATACACCTGAATATCAGCAGGAGAGGACTCTTTAAAGTAGAGACACTACATACTGATATACACCTGAACATCAGCAGGAGAGGACTCTTTAAAGTAGAGTCACTACATATTAATAGGAAAATGAAAATGAGAAAACTATAACTACTATACTTGTCTTTAACTGGAAAATGTAACAAACATGTCACAACAACTGTACTGCTGTGGATTGGGGCAGCAGTTAAGCTTATTTTAGCCACAAAGATACAATAATAAAATATATTTGTATTGCTTAATGTTGGTCAGATAGCCCTCTATAAACCAGAGCAGAAGCTGTACATGTCTTTAAGGGTTAGCGAATAAATACAGTTGATTAACATCCACGTAAAAGTACAAAAGTTGTGTGTCTCTTGGAGTCGCCTTTGTCCCGGTTCAATAACCAGAAAGGTCAGCTGTGTGGAGGTGACGCACTTCTCTGCAGAAACATGAATGTCTGGCCCGCTGCAACACTGTTTTCTGCTCAATGGATTATTGTTGTGGATAAGACTCTTATTTTTCTGCTTCTTTCCCAGACTCGTTTTAATTTGCAAGACGAGGAGGAGGAAAAATAAACTTTACAAAACAAGCGTCTCCTCTCACATCTTGGACGGCCGTTAATGCATGCATGAATCCCATTAGAAATTAATTTCCTTTTGGCGTGGGAGTGTTTCTCGAAATGAAGCATGGGAGCTGATGACAAGCCACAACAGCACAAAGCAACACAAGTTGTGTCCCGTTGCAACACAAAACATCATGTTAAATATATAGGCTTTCATTAGTTCAGTTACTTAATATGTAAAATAATTGGACTTTTATGGCCAACATTTTAAGAAGATTAAAACACATTTTAAACTGTTTTCTTTTTTTTCTGGACCTAAAAATCCCTTGTTTAAAACCGCTTGTTTAGTTGGACATGATAAATCCTTAGCACTCTGAAGAGGGTATTATGACAGATACTGAAGCCTGCCAGAGTTAATCAATTTAAAAAAAACACACAAACGTTTCTTTTATGCAAAGATTTAAGGATGGAAATTTGTTTAAAAAAAGAAAGAAATTGAAATAAAAATCCGGAAAAACTCTTGCTTGTGTTTGACTGGCTATAGCTAAAGATACCGACACTACAGTACGGATACAACAAGAAGGTTCAAATGTGTCTTAGTGAAGCAGAAAGGAAACAGGTCGTACCTCTAATAATTTGTCACTACATGCTGAACATAGCTTTTACAATACTCAATAAAACGCTCCAGGTGTGTGAAATGTGTCCAGGCTTGTTTCTCCCCTTCGTGTCTTTATCATTTCCAACTAGAACACCAACTACCTGAATAATCAACATTTAAATGTTCCAGCCTGCAGTGCTTTCCACACAGTGTAAACATTCGGACTACAGTGGACACTCTGCAGGGAATCAAACACTTGATTTCTATAAAAAGCCTCATGTCCTAGAGTCCTGATTAATTATGGAAACTTAAGGAAGAGGGAGATAATGTGGTACTTACTGGTAGGGTCCTGTGAAGGCAATGCCTGCAGAGGAAGAGAGAGAGAGAGAGAGAGAGAGTCAGCATGAAGGATCAACCACACGACCTGTCACTGTCACAGACACACACGCACCACACACACGCCACACTGTCGACAGACACCAGCAGGAGGCCTCAGTGTGTTTACCCTGTCATCTTTCTGCATTAATCGATCTGACCTCTTCAACACCATGTTAACAAACAGGTCTAACTCTAAAAGGTCACATTTAGTCTTCCATCTTTGTAGTCAACATGTTTTATAAAGATGTATATATAAAAAAGGGGTCAGTAGAAATGCTGCATGAGGTGTGAGTGTGTTTGATTGACTTCTTCCGTTCAGTGTTTGTTATCACACTGTATCTACAAGCTAAGGGCAGACAGTTAGCGGTGATATTAAAGAGTAAAAGACCATAAGAGCATCTAATTGGACCACATTGATATTTGCAGGAGTGTTTAATGTGCTGCAGCTGAGTAGCTAATCAACTGGTCACAAATGGAACGAGAAGAAATCAGTCAACTGAATGCATTGCTACACATTTAAATGATCTTTTAAAAACACAATTTGCTTATGTTTTGTTCCTTTAGATGTTGTCTAACCAATATTTCCCTAAGGTGATTATCCCTTTGTGCAATACAAATTGAGCTTGCCTGGGAACAGTGCTTTTTCTGTTGGTACATCAGTTAACCTGTTGAGCCCCGAGCCTGTTTTTCAGGTCTCAGGCTCGGAAATGACATTCCCAGAACAAATACATTCACTTCTAAAAAAGGGGTAAATTAATAATCTTTTTTCTCAAAGTAATGATAAACCTGTGAGTTGGATGTAGAAAAGTCAGAATCATAATAGATTTTTTTTATTTTAAAGTAAATTCAGATTTTACATAGTAAAGAACTGTAAATTATAGTGTCCGTCCAAAAATAAAACATTACTTAGTGAAAACTACCCTTGAATGATGGGATAGTAGACTAAAAGCTTTAGGAATCCAAACTATAACATATAATAAGTACCCTGCATCAAGATTGATGCAAAACAAGTGACATTGAGCTTTTTTTAGAGAGATTAGCAAAAAAAAAAACACTTTCTGGGGTCATTTTGGGTGGATTTTCCATATCTCTTCTGCTGTCCCCCCCCTTGCTCGATTTTGATGATTGACATCTCTTTTTAACCGTTAGAGCCAATAGGATCGAGGGAAAGTTCCTAAAATCCTTCTAAACATTACCCATTGGTGAATAGAGAGATGCGCAGCCAGAATGCCCAAAACAGGAAGCTGGGTTACACTCTGGTAGCTATCATAGCAGCTAATATGAAATCTCAGTTTTTGACATAGAAATTGAAGTGATGGATTATCAGAAATCATTTCAAAGTGACACAGACACGTTGGATTAACCTATGGATTAACCTTCAGCAGCGTTTTTATCGTTTTAATGCCATTGAACACGACTTTTGATCAGAATAACAGCTAAGGTAAGACTAATACCTGTAGAATCTGTGGGATCTCAGCTTGCTAATCGATATCTTGTTTGTGCGGATCCGATAAGTAATAACGGTATTTTTTAACGTGAGTTCTGTGCTAAGTGTGTTAGCATTTTTTCACTCAGGGCTTATTTAGACGCTTCTTGTGAGACGTGTGCTTTGTTTCGGTAAAAATGGTTCATATCGCTGAGTTTCTTCCCGTTATGTGGGTATGACACTTTAATAGGGCTTCTTAACATTTAACAACCTGAGACACAGTTTCGTGAAGAAAAAAACAGGTTAAAAAAGCACAATGTCTTCAAGAAACACGGTGGTAAATAAAATGTAAAAAAGGCTATAAGGCACAAAAATGTAACTAATATAGAAAGTTAGTCTGGAGACCTGATACTAGCCTACAGTCACTTTAGTAGTGAGCTTCTCCCAGGTGATGTTCGTTAGCTTTAACGAGCTAAACTGTAGAGCAGCCGAGTTTTCGTGAGATTAGAAAGAGACTTTAGCAGGAAAGCTAATTTGTTGCTTATGTTAACAATAATCACATTATTACTGTACAGTGTAACAGAAGTTGTTGAACTGTGTTTCTGTGCTCCTTACCTAGGCTGTGTCCGTTCTTTGTGTAGAAGCAGGTGTTGTTGATGAGGTTAACGCAGCAGCCAATCACGTCGCCCGTTGTAAACGTGGGTCCGTAGGGCTGCCCGGTGCCGGACGAGCAGAAGGAGTGACCGTCGTCTCCGTGGGTAACCCGTACGAGTGCTTGTCCCAACCTGAGGGAGGAGAATTTTTTTTAAGAATAAGAGCGTGGAGCAAGCAGGTGCGAAAATGCAACAAAAAGTCCAATCTGAGAGTGAATTTAAAATAAAAAACAGACACAACATGACAAATAAATCAGAGAAAAGGTGTTGTTAGTGTTTTAAAAAAACTCCCGACATTTGGGACCAATAGGACGGACTTAATTATCTGGAAGAAAATCTGTGTTCGCATTGAAGTTACTCAAACTCGACATAATCTTGGCTTTGAAAAACCCAGTACCAAAGTTTATATACAAGGGTTAAAGGAAATATAGGCCAATGTATTATTATTATAACTTCATGTGAGTCTGCACTGTCTGCCAGATAAAGGAGGAAAATGATGGTACATTGCATCATTTTTACACCCGTTTGGCAAATTTAACAGGATATAAAATATAATCTGGTAATGTGTGTCTCTACAGCCGCTTGTAGGTGATTTGGTTTCCTTCGGACAGAGTTAGGTAAACAGTTTTCAGTTTGTTTGCGCAGCTAAAAAAATGTAACTTTAGTATTTCTGTTTTGATATGCTGGCCTTCTGGTTAAGGCACTGCTGTAAACACACTCAGAAATAGCACCGATATGCTGAAGGGATGCGTAAAATGTTCTCATGTTGCTCTTCCATACTCTGCCTCTACATCTCAACTTGTATTCAATATGAGCTTTCATATAAGAAAGAAATGCAAGGAAAGAAATCTTGAATTTTCACCTGTTTTTGTTTTATTTGGAGCACAATTACGTGAAGTGCAGGGCTCAGTAACATTTTCAGAAGTTTATAACGCACTTATAAATCCATGGACAGGAGGCCAGTAGAGATTGACTCCCTGACCTCTTTAGGATTGTCACACATGTAGAAATCCTGAACCAGCTTCTCTAACAATTTGACAACATGCATTCAGAGAACTGACATATAACTAATGGAAATGAAACATCTCTCACACCTACACCCAGTGCATCCAATCTGTACCAAACAATAAGCTCACAGACAAAATGACACCCACTCTAACAGTTTAAATGATCTCTGGTATATATAGTACAGGGTTCCTGCAGGTTTCACCAACTCAAATGTAAGACTTTTTAAGACCTCTTTGAATAGAATTTAAGACCTATTTCACGGCAAGAAAGTATGAAGGAAAATTGCTATGAAAGAAGAAATACGTCCCATAATTACTTACAAAGTAAATGTATTCATGTCCTACATAAGAACGATGACTGAACATAACAGTACACAGAACTGTGTGCGTGTGTGACAAGAGCTATATTCAGAGCTCTGCTGCCTTGGCTACAATCTTTCATCGTTGCTGTTGTAGGATTGGTGTTTAGCTACGGTATTTAGCATCCACAGCACCTCTGCTTTAAGGGTTGACGTAGACCCAAACGTCGCCCGGAGGTCCCCCCGATGTTGTTTTGTGGGAGCTCACGCTACATTAGCAAAACAAACTTCTTGCTTTTGCAAAAGGTGCAGCGGGCTTCAAACACGTTCCCCTCCACTGGTTTCAACCAAGCACTAAATTTGATGTTTTCCAACCAAATACGGTTGAACTTACACTTCCCCATATTTATTTGTAAGTAGATTCCGAAGATACCAAGGTTTCTGACTTGGTTGCTAGGTTACTAGCTGGGTGTTCTCCGATAAGGGGCCGGGGAAACAAAGCTAGTGATTACTGGTTCCATGTTGATTTATTTCAATACAGAAATTGAAACTGGGGGGAACTGAAAGGCTCTTACCGTACTGGTTACTTTGCAGCCCGGACATTTCCCCCAAAACACATTTAGACGCGATCGCAACACAGAAGTACCTTTCAAATCCCATCATTTTAAGACCTTCTAAATCATATTTAAGACCTTTTTAAGGCCTTGAATTCTGATTATCAAATGTAAGACTTTTTAAGACCCCGCAGGAACCCTGTAGTAGAAACACACACATGTATCTCACCACACCCAAAGAGAGAAAGCAAGCACACATAAAGTGTCGTCTTACCTGGGAGTCTGTTCATGTTTACACCCTGAGCTGACAGGCCGATGCCCATGTACCTGTGGAGAGAGATTTAAGAGTTTATTTAGACGCATCAAAAGAGATTTAAGAGCAAGACCAGCCTACTGACCTGCCATTAATTATGCCTTGGTGATAAACATCAACACATTGCATAAGTGTGTCAGTCATCTAAGAGTTTATTAAGTCAAGGACAGCCCCCACCAAAGAGCCAAAGCCCCTTTAATTGTTCCCTGTATCACAAAATCAAAATTACATCCATCGTGCAATATCCAAATCGCAGTAAGTGCAATATTTGGTAACGTTTAATAGCTAATAATATCTGAATGAAGTGTTGTGGAGCTGCAGAGAGGTCCCGGCCTACTAACGGTCTAATAATAATGAGAATAATTATTAACTTTGACTGATATCAAGATTGCAATATCAGTCAAAAGAATCACTTTAATATATTGTTTCCGTGTTGTGTAGCACTACTGCCGTCCCCTGATGACTTATCACTAACACAGGTTAATATATTGTAAATGAGGAGTAGTGTAAGTGTTTTTCTGTGTTCAGAGTCCTTACCCATCTCGTCCTTTGCTGATGATCTTGACCTCGAAGTAGTAGACCCCGCAGGCAGCAGGGATGGGGTGTGTGGCCCGCACTGACGCTGCATCTTTAGGGGTTTTTCCATGACCTTCAGGGTAAAAACACAGAGCCACAGAGAGCGGGTATTACAAACAGATCATGCTATAATCAAAGGATGGACATTAGTGTGAAGACAGAAGCTTTTCCAATGCTACTTAGCCTTTCTGTTGTCCTTGGGTTGGATTTAAACGTTTTTATGTCAGGATAACAGTTTATTTCATCTCATAGCCAAACAAAAACATGGACGGTTTCAAACTAGTTTCTACGCAAAGAATACTCATTACTTTCATTGATTTATGTGTGTTTTGTTTAAATTAAATAATGCAAGAGGCCCTATTATGCTTTATGAGGGTTTTCCCTTTCCTTTAGTGCATGTAAATGGTCTGCAACGGCTAAAATCCCTGTGTCCAGAGGAAGTTTCTCTCCCACTTTCTTAACATTAAAACATGTCACAGTAGAGGAACAACATACGAATATGAGCCTATCAATTAGCAGAATATGTCACCTTCAAATAGTTTCAACAGGATCCTAATTAAAGTAAATATTATTTGACATATATAGTCTGTAATAATCCAACAGAATATGCTTGTTATATCTTAACTATGGTCAAAATGATTCACAATGTTTGCCCTGTAAAAATAGGTTTATTTTAGTGTATACGAGGTCTTTTGATAATTAAATGTACAACGTGTGGCAATTAGTTGGCTTTAAAAAGGCGTTTCCCATATTTGGCTGATGTTTTATTCTATATGCTTTGTAAACACTCAAACCAGGACAACACAAACAGTTGACATGAGGACAACACAAACATCTGACATGAGGACAACACCAACAGTTGACATGAGGACAACACCAACAGTTGACATGAGGACAACACAAAGGTTAAGCTGATTGAATTAAAATGAATCTAAATGGATAATGAAAGGCCAAATCCAAATTAATTCATTCAAAGCACAGGGCAGGACTGTACGTAGATCTTTAGCACTGAATCCCACAAACCTGTCAATCATTGTCAACCGGATAAAACAATGTATTTTAAAGATACAGAGAGAAAACCTGAGCAGTTTTCACTGAGTCAAGTATTTTTACAATGGTCTCTATGTTTGTCATTGCCTGTTTTCCCCACACTGATTCAGTCCTAAAGTTGAGAAGGTGATTTCAAAGTCGTTGTCAAATTGGATTAAAGTCAGGTGGGGCTTCTGCAGAGACTATACACAAAGAAGAGTTTGACAACCTAATTGCTGTGCTAACAGAAACCGGCCTCAAGGGAAATGTCCCAATACCTTCCCAGGTACATTTCTATCAGCAGTATTTTGTATAATTGCAATTTCACAGATTACGAATTTGAGAGTGTAATATAAATAGGGGATTTTAGATTTAAAGAATACTAAAAATGGGCTTTATACAAGGGGGGGGAGTAGGCGTTGTCCAAGAACATATGATGCCATTTTATTAGATAGTATTTGTATTAATATCTGTGAAGGATCATAATATCAGGGTTCATACACTTTTTCACCAATGACTTTCAAATGACCTTTACCTAATTTTCCATGACCAAAAAAATTACTCTTTCTCAGCGGTACCAATAAAAATTGTTTATTTTAACATGGAACAGGAAAATAAGGTCTGAAACATGTTGTGCCTATCTAAAACAAATGAACTAGTAGGCTTACTAGCTTCTACACGCTAAAGCAACTCAAATCTCTCACCAGCAAAACACCTCGTCAGTTAAATGCCATTTTACGATACAGTATTTATTATCATTATAGTATTACTATTTCGGCGATTAGATAAAATATAAATTATATTTGATGCAACTTTAGTTACATTTCCATGACTTTTCCAAAACTTTGGGGAAAATATTGTTTTCCATAACTTTTCCAGGGCCTGGAATTAGCATTTTGAATTTCAATGACTTTTCCAGGTTTTTAATGACCATAAGAACCCTGTAATATGTAATACTTTTGAATCTGGACGTCGTGGGTTGTAAAGCAGCTCATCCCATTACTCTGTAGAAGCTAAAGTTTGCTCAACAGCTACAGAGCAGCAGAGCTGTCAACAGATTTATGAGCGGTCAATACCAGAAGTATTTACACTGCCAGATGCTACTTGGCAGCTGTTTTAAGTTGTTATAACATGTGCGTGGTTATGAATACACTACTAAACGTCATGATTATACTACAAAGTACTGTTTAATGTACCACTAATGTAATATGTTAATACAAACTGCACACACTAATTGTTGTAGATATTTTTGTTAAATACGATGCCAACAATACAGATGAAACTACTAAAAATGTTTGAACAACAACAATTGAGTTATTGTAAAATGTGGATAACCAAGTCGCTGCCATTGATACACTGCTGATGGCACGATTATACTAAGAAATACTGACTACTCCTAGTGTACCACTAATGTAATATCTTACTAGATGTGAGCTAAATCTGGCAGTGTTTCCTGTAGTAAACAAGCTTTCTTTACTATGGAAAAAGTGGTTTGGGAGAAACAGAACCCTGAAAGGATCACAACAAGCAACTGGATTATTTTACTGATTTGTTTAAGTAGAATTAAGGTCATGACTTTTGTAGATATAATTGTTTTTTTAATTTAATTGGGAGGGATGAAACCCTCTTTAATGGTCACACATGCACACACAATGAAATGTGTTCTCTGCTTTTAACCCATCCTAGTACCAGGAGTCTAGTACTAGGAGCAGTGGGCAGCTATTGTACAGCGCCCGGGGAGCAATGGGAGTGAGGGGAAAGGGGGGGGGGTGTCCAGTGCCTTGCTCAAGGGCACCACGGCAGGGCAGGAGGTGAACTGGGACCTCTCCAAGTAGAAGTCCACACTATATATTTAGGTCTGGTCGGGGACTTGAACCGGCGACCCTACAGCTCACAGTCCAAGCCCCTACTGAGACACTGCCGGACGATGACTACAAGACAGGCCTGAAGATGAATCTACAGAAAATGCTTTGACAACAATAATCCTAATCGCATTTGGAATCAAAAATAAAAACAAAATCATAGTCTGATATTTTCCTCCTATTGTCCCTTCAGAGGATGTCTCAATTAAATCTGGCTACTGTGAGTTTAATGAATGAATGTTTGGGAATACCCAGAACACTTTCAAATATGAACTGATGTTGATCAACTAAAATATAAAAGCTAAAACCTATTTTACATGTGTTTAGTGAAGGTGTTTCACAGACAAACACAGTGTGCAGCTGAGGGAAAACACAAGCAGTACAATAACACACAAAGAGCCCATATTCAAAACGTACATTGCAGCTTCATAATTGTTAGTGTCACTGCCATTTCATGCAATTAAGATCAATCAAAAAATGAGAACTCATAATCCACTAAGAAAGGAAAGTCTTAATATAGATGATATGTCCGATAAACAGTTCAAAACATGATGATATTCAACTTCCAAAGAAAGCAAGAATGAATCACTTTTGAGAAGCTAGAACAAGGAAAGGATTGTTATTTTTGGTTACCAAAAGACTTAAATGATAAAAACTACTTATTAGTTTTCATAAAAAATATCTAATACAAATATTATCTTGAGTATTAGATAACAAGCTGTTAGCTAATTCCTTAATAATGTATGTCACATGCAAAAGCAACACTCGAGTGATTTGAATCCTGCTGTTCCTCATGCATTAAAAACGGTTTATTATAAGATTATTTGTACTAAAATAAATTAGGTGTGTTTTGTTTATTTAAGTAAAATGACTCAGATGTCCTTCCAACGAATGCCTAACAGTTTGCAGTGTTTGAAGGCTAACGTTACACACCACCTGTGTACCTGCTATTAAATACATCTGCTGTATAGAGGCAGAACATTCTAGTCGTCAAGAAGGAAGAGTGTGCGTAGTGGGCCTGGTCAGACCCAGAATAGTAGAACACACCCAGGAAGCACAGATTTGTATTAACTCTATCCTTTTCGTGGAGGCCTGCAACAAAAACCCTCTTGATAGCTTTGCTAATCAGCCCGAATGTCACTTGATATTAAAACCTCAGCAGCAAGCGACTATCTTTGCCTGTCATGTTATCTATAACTACTTCACTGGTAGCCTAGCAATTCATCTGAGTAATTGAAGCCAATCGGGATATTCGACACTGTGTATTTCCTGTCATGTAATTACCTAATAATGCTACATTAGCCAACCAAAAAGGGATGGGTAGCTCATGTCCATTTCGGCTTGATTATGTGACTTCTGGGTGCTTCTACACCTACATGTTATGTGTTTGTTTGACATGACATCCGTCGTTATAGCTTCAGGATGACACTTTATACGATACGAATTCACTGTCAGTCATTTGTCAAACCTTTTACTTGCATCACAGCAGCTCCATTTGCAACATCAAACAAGGACACATACACGACACAAGGAAAACAAACATTTAGCAGAACATCACAACCACTGAATAGAAACTCGAATACCCTTTAGCGTACATTAGATCTGGGATTTAGCTCTGTATTTAATGTTAGGATAGACTGGTCCAGTCTAACTTTATTAACAAGGTAGCGGGGAAGCTAACGAGCTAGTAGGTCAATTTTAGGCTGTGGATAAAACCTCGCCAGCTGGTCGGGTTGCAAGATGTCCTCTGCCTTGTTGTTGACGAAGCCACTAGCCTACTTTGTTTTTAGCCACGTCAAGCTAAGCTAACGTTAGCAATGGGGTGGGGGGATAAAAGTGCGTTATATTCCATTTGAACTATGTATGTTTCTTTCTTATTATTTTGCTGCTATGATACGTTAGTTTCCATACGGGAATTAATAACGGTCCAACTTATCTGATCATATCTAGTTTGTTTTTAGCCCCAACGGTTAGCTTTGACGGTTGGTCCGCTAACTGTGAAGCTAACATTAGCATTGGAGGGAGGGGAGGATAATAAAAGTGCTTTAAACTCAGCGTTTGTCTTCGTGTCATTACCTTTATAGTGCACACGGAGGTTGTTCTGTGAGAGCCCGATGTAGCTGAACTTGTCCTTCGGGCTCCAGGAGCGGGGCAGCGGAGTCTCCGTCTCATTTACGGCCGGGTAGAGCCGTCGGAGTCGCTGGTTGAGCTCCTTCTCCTGGTCGTTCAGAGCAGAGTCTCCGTGGACAACAACCGACATCAGGAACCCGCAGCCCCCCGACGACTGTCCAGACATCACGAAGATTCACTCTTTAAATGGCTTGTCGGCAAACAAGCCAAATCCACTTGTGTCGGTCAGTGTCGAGTGTTTTTAAAGGGAGTTTTTTTTAGCAAAAGCTAAGCTAACTGGCTCCACTGGTTCGTAGGGGATAAGCTAACTAGAAGGCTAAGGTAACTAGCATGTTAAGCTAACTGGCTCCGCTGGTTCGTATGGGAGAAGCTAACTAGCAAGCTAATCTAACTAGCATGCTAAGCTAACTGTCTCTGTTGGTTTGTACGGGTTAAGCTGAATAGCAGGCTAAGCTACCTAGCATGCCCAGCTAACTAGCTCCTGGTTAGCCGAGAAGCTAACCTGGTGGCTAACCCGTTCAGCAAAAGGCAAAGCGCTCGGCTCAGGTTGACATTAGCTGACACAAAGCCACATATATATAGACACTAGAAGGAGACTGAGAGTGGATGAAATACAGAAGAGTTGGTCGACGTAGGGAGGTAGGAGAGCAGTTATGTTGCGTAGAGACGGACCGAGTGTAATGAGCTCAGCTAGCCTCGATCTTTTGTTTGTTGTCGGAGCGATATCCGCGAATCTGATTGGCTGAGAGCAGCTCTACTCACTACCTATGGGGAATCTGAAATAAATAAATATAATGTAATGTAAAATCAATAGTGGAAGAAGTTTTCAGGTGCTTTACTTTAGTAACAGTACCAATACATTATTGTCAACATTCTTCATTGCATGTAGAAGTCCTGCATGCAAAATCTTACTTAACTATTATCAGCTAAATGTACAAAGTATTACAAGTAATAGTAAAAATAGCCTTTATGTGTGTGAATATAATTATTCTTATATAGGTGAACTTTCTAGATAACATTGTTGCATCAAGTAGCATATTACTGTGTAATTTGACTCTTTTCTGACTTAAATGTATTGGAGTAAAATTACATGATTTCCCCTTTTGAAATCAGGGTAGTAGAAGTATAAAGTATCATAAAATGGAAAAGTACAAGTACCTCAACATTTTAACATCCAAGGACAAGCAATTTGTCATGCAAAAATAATTGTATAACTCTATTTTTCAAGCCCCAATATCACAAAGCACAACATTGCTTCAGCACTTTAACAGAAAGAGAATATAGAACCTCTGGAATAGCAACTAAGGACGAGAAATTAATCAAATAAAATTAATGTTTTCTTGCACCCCTTAAAATCAACAAGGCTACGTGACCCCCTATGAAGCTTTGGCAACCCTAACTAATGGGTGCTGTCGTGAAAATTACCATATTAATTGACAACTGATAAAATAAGCCTTAAACTAATTAACACTCTGAATCTTATATGGGATGAGGATATGGTTGGTTGATTATCCAGCCCTACTAGTGGTTTCCTTAATTGTAACATCCCACCATAATGCAATACATCAATAAATACAGCATCATTTAACAAATAATATTATGATTGTCAGTGACTGAAATTAACCTTCTCAACCTTTTCAAGTCACTGAAAATAATCAGGTTGGTGATTGCAACCCCCTTTAAATTAAGTTATCACTAGCAGTAGATGCATGGTAAGGCTGGCACGTCTTTTAATGTTCTTTATCTAAATATTTTTGGCATATATTCAGTGTAAGACCCGTAGCAAAGCAAGTGGACTTCTGTGCTATTATTGTTAAATGAGTGGAGCTTTTGTATCACAAATACAATATTCTTAGACATATTGTATCATCAGTATAGGCAAGTGTAATCTGGCGACCCCCAGAAGTTCTCTCGCGACCCTCTTGGGGGTCCCAAACCCCAGGTTGAGAACAGCTGTTTTTGTCTCCAACAGCTCTGATCAGTGTTAACAGACTGGAGGAGGTTGTATTTGTTTGGCCTGCGCTTCCTGTGAAAGTTCCTCACAGCAACATGTGGGAATGTTCATTGCATCACTGAGGAGGAATCTGGAATGCTGTTGCTGTCCCTGTAGGGAAGACTCGCTCAGACTCAGACTCTGAGTCCTCTGGAAAACACAAACGGTAGACGGCTGTTTATCATCGGCAGGACAAATGTTGGAGAAGCCAAGCAGGACAAAGTGTTCTGGGAAAACATCCTCGCTGTTTGTTTTATATCCTGCTTGGACAGCATCATGACAGAGATGGAGGAAATAGTTCAAAACATGTACAAAAATATTAGGTAATAACTTAAAGAGGACATATTATTCTCATTTTCAGGTTCATATTAATATGTAGTGTCTCTACTGGGACATGTCTCCATGCTTTAATGTTCAAAAAGCTCTTTTCACCCTCTGTCTGAAACCAGATTGGTTAGCTGGCTGGCTCTGTTGTGATTGGTCAACCGCTTAGAGATGTCCCGCCCCTCAGCACGAACAACGCGTTGGAGCACTAGCCAAATAGGAGCCGGAGTGTTAAATAGTGATGTCACTATGTTCAGGAAGTAAACAAAGGAGTCCAATGGAGGCGTTTCAGGAAGGGGGGGAAGGGAGTGTGTGGGAGAGAAACTCCCTCTGGAGAGAACTTTGGAATTTTAGCCTTTGCAAACCATTTACATGCACACAAACCTATATAACACACTACATGAAGGGAACAACCCTAAAGCATAAAGGGGCCTTCTTATTTATCTAACGACGAAAAAAACACTATAATGCTGCATATTTTCAGAGTTTTACATATTTTCATATCTTAGTAGAAAATGCTCTGACTGTTGTTTATTTTACAAGCAAACTCTGTTATTATAAGGTATGTTGAAGCACAACATCTACATTTTAATCATGTATTATAATAGTTTAGTTTGCAATAACATGGTCTCTTTATTAATGTATGCCTAATTGCCACAAAGTAATTAGCAATTAGCAATTATTACAAACACAAAGAGTGGTAGAAGTGCCACAGCTATTTGTAATAACAGCATTAAAGTTTAATTTGACTTTCAAATGATTTGTGTAAACACTACTGCTGCATTTGTTTCATCATTTGAATGAATGGTTTGAGCTGAAAGAGTTTGACTTGAAGCATGTTGGATTTTTTCTGACATGTAAAGTCTGGAGTTCTCCAACAACACTGATTTGATTTATATTTTCTTAGACATAAAGGGGCAGAGGAGATTAGCCCCCTCTGGTGGTTCAGGCTCAAACTCATCACAGAGCAAGATATGAGTCGACACTTCAATATAGACTGAGCTAAGCACAGTAGTATTTTTTTAAATGAACTTTCTAGAAAAAACTCCTTAAAGCAAATTTCAGATATGTTTGATTAAGAATTATTTTCAGATTGCAGACATTAAACCAGAACATGACGTTAGAAATTACACCTTTTGGCATCCGTACACTGGCTAGCAGCAAGTTTTAAGATTTAATTTTTAGATCTCATACATTAAGGCTTTCCATTATTGCTAAATGTATTATGCTGCATACTAAGATGGATCTGTCTGAGTAAATAAGGCATTCTGACAAATATCCACCTAAATCTAACATTTTAATAGAGAATTTCTTGCCTTTATTTGACTTTTCTTTCCATTTCTCCAATCTTACGTCACCGGAATTGGTGTAATCAGTTTACTCAACATTTGTTATTATTTTACAGTATGTTGATTTTAATTTGCTGCATTGTGTGAAGAACTTTGCAACCTGTGCTCTGATTAATAATGACAAGAATTACCTGCCAAAGCGTCAATGTTTCTGTCTTGTTTTTCTCATCCACACACATTTATTCAGCAGATTTCACCAGAAATGGCAATGAGGCGAGATAGCCCGAGCAAAAAACCCCAATAAATGTTTTTGTGGCTATTTTACTCCCGAACTTATACTTAATTAGGTGGTTTATCCTCACTAACTTTCTTTATTTGCATGTTCCCTTAATTTACCAAAAATAGCATTTAATTATACTTAATTTGCATATTTATGTTAGTTAATATTAATCTCTGCTTCAGATGCACCAAACCTCTACAAAAAAAGTCACACAACCTGATTTATTGAACATTTTATTCCAAAAAACATTGCGTTACTCTCATATGTCAACTAAATGAAACAAGAGTTTTAAACCCAGATGTATACAATGTAAAGAGATGCAAATCAACACACATTTAATTAGATAATCCCTCATTTGCATATTCAAACATAACATTTCGGAAAACTTTTAATACAAAAAATATTTCTCTTTATGTCGGTAATCAACTGGGAAAGTTTCATGTTGATATCTGTTAGTTACATTTTTACCCTAGGTTACCTCGTAGCTAAATCTGACACTTTGAACTTTAATACGCTATGTGCACGAGGGTCTCTGACGTACTTCCGGTCACAACGTAATACTGCTCTGAAGAGTGAAGAGTGTCCTTTTAAACTGGCTGTGATTTAGTTTAAAAGTTTATTTTAACACAAGCGACGGAATATTTTCCAAGACAGGAGAAAAAGTACTCTAGACGTTAGCCAGCGTATGCTAGCGTTAGCTGGTTAGCGCCAGTCGATCCGGAAATAGTTGTTTTCTGTTCTTCATAGTTGTGTATGATGCAGTATATCATTTGAAGCCTTTGTCCAGTTTTCTGGCTGGGGCTTTAGTAGCCTGGCAAATCCGATGAACATCTTAAATGTTCATTTTTGGGAGCTCCTGTAGGAAGCGGTGTAAAAGGTTGGCTACCAAGCTAAACTATAATTAGCACAAATGAATGACGGAGAAAAAAGGCTTTGTCCAGTCTTCTGGCTGGGGCTTTAGTCGTCAGGCAAATCTGAAATGTTGATTTTTAAGAGCTTTTCAAGCGGATATAAAAGGTTGTCATTTTTTAACCGGAAACAGACAAGCAGTATTACACAGAATGCGAAAGTGACTGTGCACGTAGCAGATTAATCGACTACCAAGCTAAACATATTAGCACAAATGAACATGTATAACGATAAAAACGATCTAAATTTAATTTGTAATGTACATAATCTCCCATAAAGAAAAGGAGCATTTTTTTTGTTCTGCTATTGAAGCGTTTGCATGGTCAGTTACACAGTAACATCCCCATTAGTGAACTCTGGAGACCCATTGTCTAGCTAAGCAAAAAATAGTGAATGAACTCTTCCAATATCAGATTACACATGATAACAAAGGTATCCCAACTGTAGCTGTGTACATGACAGGATGTATGATTACCTAGAAGAGCATCAGGACTGTTTTAGGCATATGATAGCTATGTGATGAACATGATGATTCAGCCTCTATGGAGATAGACATATGACAAGCATGATCATTTCTGACGTGGAGCTAATCTGAAGTAAACATTGAATACTGCTTTCTATTCCTCCATCTTGTGACTGTGTAACTCCCTCTCTTGGATATCAGCATGTGAAGGACACTGTTCAGGAACTAGTTGATGCTCTGTATGTGATGACTACTTCCATTCTGGAGAGGATCAGAAATACATGGATCCTGATATTGAAGCTCAAGCCGGTGACGAGAGATATTTTTCTAACACAAACCCATTGAACATTCATGGGCATTCATGTGCTTCCCATTATGGAGGCATGCAGTCCCACAGCTCGTGGCAGATACACTGGCACAGTCCGTAGACCATGATTATGACCAGGCTGGCGGGAACCAGGCTTACCAGCAGGACTCCGACCGTGGTCTTCTGCATGATGAGCAGGTAGACCCCCATGGGCAGTGAGCTGAAGTACAGCAACCCCAAAACCCACACCAGCGCTCGGGCGGAGGTTTGACAAAGCAGGGCGGCACAATTCCACATGGTCCACCTCTGAGTGATGGACGCCATGGAGTCCAGGCTGGAGGAGCGGTAGTCCGATCCGTGATGGTGGACTTCTCCTCGGTTGGATGTGGGTATTGGCGGCGGCGGCTCCATGATTGTGATCACCACAAAGTTAGAGGACCCTCGTATGGAGGAGTAAGTGGTGGAGGAAGAAGAAGACGAGGACGAAGAGGAGGAGGAGAAAGGGGATGTCATGGGTGGATTACTTCCCATCAGAGAGTTGAGGTGCCGGGGGTTGAGGAGCAGTTCTGTCGTCGCCTCCTGGTGGAAGTGGACGTTCCTCTGGTTCCTGCTTCGGAGGGACAGCGCCCCCAACAGGTTGCAATCATCTGGCAGGCTGCTCACTTCCTGCCCAGGTAGTCTGGTGACGTATCGGCAGAACGGACACACCACGACGTTCGGAGGCGACTCACCAAGGTCAAGGATCTTGGTGAGACATTTGGCGCAAAGACGGTGGCAGCAATCGAGCACTTTCGGACGGCGGCTGTTCAGATTGTAGGCGCAGTAGCAGATCTTACACTCAAGCTCCTCTGTGCTCAGTATGTCCAAGTACCCAACGCCTCCCCCTCCTCCTCTATCATCCGGGCTTTGCAGCTCAATCATCATCCTTCCCTCCGAGATCTATCCGTCGTCAACATCAACAGAAAGACCCAACAGGAAGCTCAGGTCCAGGATCAGCGCCGAGCAACACAGAGAGTTTCCCATAGATGGAGACGGTGGCAACGGTCCACTCCAATGAAGGTCTGGGGTTCATTGTGGCTGTCCAACAGGCTCCTGAAATGTGTGTGTGTGTGTGTGTGTGTGTGTGTGTGTGTGTGTGTGTGTGTGTGTGTGTGTGTGTGTATGTGTGTGTGTGTGTGTGTGTGGTGTGTGGTGTGTGTGTGTGTGTGTGTGTGTGTGTGTGTGTGTGTGTGTGTGTGTGTGTGTGTGTGTGAGATGTTCGGGAGTTGATGAGGGAAGTCCCTCGTGAGTTCTGGCCTCTGAGCAGTTTGGGTAACGGTGCTTCGTTTGGGGCAAAAAAAAAAACCTTTCATGGGCCGCGTGAAAGAAAAATAAAAAGAGAGAGAGAGATTGAAAGAAACACAGAGAGAGAGAGACAGAGAGAGAGAGAGGGAGGGAGATAACTGTTAACACAGCATTAGAAGAGACAGAAAGCCAGGGGACAACAAAGCAAAGCCTGTACAAACCAGAGCTGGAATTTTCGAGCCTGATCTTTTGTTGCTCAGTGAAATTCAGTCCAATTAGTGGCTGACACACACACACACACACACACACACACACACACACACACACACACACATACACATACACACACACACACACACACACACACACACACACACACACACACACACACACACACACACACACATGTAACGGTATGTACAACAAAACAGGAATGAGTGCATGATAATGTTTAAGTGTGTGTGTGACTGTGTGTGTGTGTGTGTGTGTGTGTGTGTGTGTGTGTGTGCACGATTTGGCACTTAGCTCAGATCTTGATACAAATCCAAAACAGTTCCTTATTTTTGTCGTAACTTCCTTAGACCTGTTAACTTTTACTCTTTTTCTTGGAGTCTTTCTATACAGCCTCTCCAACACACAGGCTGCATATTTATCTAGCTATCATCCTATCTTAAAGGGGACCTATTATGCAAAATGCACTTTTGTACGTCTTTTATACATGAATATGTGTCCCCGGTGTTTCCAGGGAACTCACCAAGTGTCAGAAAACACAACCCTCTCTATTTTCCTCCATACCCAAATCTCTAAAAAAGGGGCTGCAACGGATCTGATAAAAACTGATCCAGATTTGAACACGTTACTGATGTCAGGACGGTGGCGCTACGGCTATTGGGCCAACTCTCCACCTATCAGGGGAATGTGGGGTTGGGCCACGGCCGGCCATTGCCGCTCGAAAGCACTGGAGACGCTCTAGTACATATGCCAGGCCTGTATGTGGCGCTGTAGTCTGCCACAAAAGCAGCGAAGAAGACTTCCCGCGCATGGTTGCCATGGTTGCCCTTCTGTTTATTCTCCGCTGTGGCTTTTTTTCTCCCTCCCCGAGGCAAGCGTTTGCTCCCGCTGCTTTAATTCAATGCAATCCCTCCCCGTCGAGGCAAGCACTGTAATTCTCTCCGGTTAGTCCACCAGCAGATGACAAACACCCACCTCTCCGCCTCTTCCAAGGAACGAGGGGACCGTGCGGCAGAGTTTCAGTTAGGTTTTTTTTCACCGGTCAAGATGTCCGTTAAAGTTTAAATCTTCCGGACAAAATTAGAAAAGTGCCGGTCAAAGGTCTTCTTTGTTATTTATTGAGCTTTAAAACAAATGAATTACGACTCTATATAATAATATAATAAAACACGGAGGACGGAGATCTCCCCCCTCTTCTGACAGCCCAGCAGCTGTTCAGAGCACGCTCCCCTCTCCTGCAGGGGGGCGTGGTCAGCTGCAGCTCACAGAATCAGCCCCCTGCAAAAACAGTGCTGGAAAGAGCAAATGGAGCGAAATGAGGCATGGCTAAAATGCAGGATCTGTTTGGTATTTTGAAAAAAAAACTATATTTATATACTTTATATAGGTATGGCCCTACAATATATTGTTCAAATATAGCATGATAGGTGTCCTTTAAGTTAAGTCCATCTTCAATGATCTGACTTTAAAGTGCATTAGTAAATCAAACATTGTCTGGTTCCTGTTTCTGCAGATGTGTTTTTGTTCATTGTGCGACCATTGGGTTGGTTTTATTCTGCAAATTCAGAGTTGCACTTGGCAAATTGTGTTGTAAACTAAAAAAGCCACCTGTTTCACTTATGCATTGGTCATTCAATTCAACATCACAAAAAAAGCACTTAAGAGTTAAGCCTATAGTTGAAACGTATGCACCAGCACTGACAGTGGTTTGGCTAATTTGAAGCGAATATATTTTTGTTGTTGTTCTAAGTTTGTATCTTCATAGTTTATTGCACTTTTGAGTCGCTTTGGAAACATGCCAAATGTCATGTAATGTAAAAATGGCAAAGGGCAAATTCCAGGATTGTGACCAGAAATCTGCGTACTGAAGTATTTGGCTTAATAATTGCAATATCTGACCAAAATGCTGTCAAAATGTTACCTCGGCCTTGTACAACTACTCCTGCCTGACAACACACTCTTGTTTGAAAAATCAAGAATAAACTGAAATGTTTGGCTCCAACCAGAAAATTATTCAAGGCAAGGCAACTTTATTTATACAGCACATTTCAACACAATGCATGCCGTTATAAACATTTAAAAACAGTCGTTAAGTCAAGAAAATACCATTAAAACAACCATAGAGTAAGACATGCATTAAATACAAGAATACAACTGGTAGATAATAGTTATTTGATTTAATAAAATGCAGCAGCAAACAGACAAGTCTTCAGTCTTGATTTTAAAGAAGTGAGGGATGCAGATTTCTTGGAGTTTCTTCCAGTTATGTGAAGCATAAACACTGCTTCTCCATTGCTTATTCAGATAACAGAGGATTCATATCAGTTATCTCAGAGTTCATTATAATGGTATAAAGCTCCAGATAGTACAAAAGCAAAGAAAATAAACAAGTTAGCTAGCTCTTGGTCAGGAAATATCACTGAAATAATACATTAATAATACACTTTAACCAACAAAAACAAACATATAACTCATATAGCACATATAACACATATAACACAACATAACTCATGGTTGGTAATGGCACAAAACAAATTACATCACATTCCATTAAACACACACACACACACACACACACACACACACACACACACACACACACACACACACACACACACACACACACACACACACGCAGAATCAATAATCAGCTGAAGGCTTGAATATCAAGTCAGAAAGAATTGGACACAACAAGAGAGGACATGTGGCTAATCTGAATTTCAAAATAAAACACACAATATAAAATGGAAAACTACCATTACTGTCTCTGAAATGCAATTTACTACAATTATTATTCTACTGTTTACTTTACTTTATCTATGGTCGTTTTTAGAGAAAACCAGCATCTAATCATAGGTTTGTGTCAAAGATAGTTTTTTTGAATTGTTTTTTTGGAAGGAATTGTGTTTTTATCCCCTCTTATCCTATGAATTATATTGTATCTGTTTATACTTTTGAGGAGTATGGGCTTGTCAAGGAGCCTTTATTGTCATTTTTTAACATGTTTTAGTGAAATACTTTACAGTTTTCAGACGTGATTAGATGCATTAAGGTAATGAAGTAGTTACAATTAGCTGCACCTCTACATCTTTGATAACACTTTAATGATCAATAATTATAAAACATATCATATATATTATTCTGAAATGGACCAATCTGCACAATGACTACTTTTACTGTCGCTACTTTCACTATATTTTGATGATAATACTTTTCTACTTTTACTTGAGGAACATTTTGAATGCAGCACTTTTACTGTAACCGAGTATTCCTATACTCTGGTACTTCTACTTTTACTCAAGTACAAGATCTGGGTACTTCTACTTTTACTCAAGTACAAGATCTGAGTATTTCTACTTTTACTCAAGTACTTCTCCCACCTCTGCCGCTTCCCAACACTAATAAACAACGGTACATTTCAATTGTTGTTTCAATTTTGTGACTTTTATTTTGAAAATCCAGCACCAGAACTGCGATGATACCCCCTGCTGTGAGCTTGACACCGGTTCTCTGCTGAAGGAGCGGCAGAGAGCGAGGGGCCCCGGAGAGTCTTCCGATGCTGGGGAACCGGGAACCAGGAACAGCTGGCTGCGGGGAGGCATCTGCCCGGCCGGCGGTGCCTCTGATCCGGGGAGAGCGAGGCGAGGAGCCACTGTCCGGCCGCGGAGGAAGTCGTCTCTCCGGCCTGGTGAACTGGAGGCAGAGACCGTGCAGGACCTCAGCTCTGCTCGCTGCAGCCAACGCGGTGATCTGGTAGGAACCATGACGCAGGGATATTCCTCCCAACACTAACACTGCAGGAAACATTATCATTTGATTTGATTTGATTTGGATTGGATTTATTTCGAACGTGTAAAACAATAATAATAAAACAAATTATAATAACAATGAAATGAGAATTATGAAACAGAATCAGAATACCTTTATTAGTCCCACAGAGGGGACATTTACATTGTTACAGCAGAAAATAGCCAAAGACAGCTTAATGTAAGCATGCATACAAAAGTATTAAAGATAAAAAAAAATGATAATAAAAAAAGTTACACAATTTACAAAAAACACATCCTGTAACAGTTCTGAGGATTTAGCAGCCAGGTATATATTACACAGTTATTAGCATCTATATATATATAATATTATACATATTGCACATAAAAATAATAAAAAATAATAATAATTAAATGAGAATTATGATACTGCACAAACTTAAGCAGTATCAAATTGATAAACAACCATATTATTGACTTACAAATTATATATAAGCAAATGATATACCTAATTACACCTCCGAAAATGACCCCAAACCTCAGGAAAATATCATACTATACTAATACAATCAGAAACAGGTTTATTTCTAAGTACACATGCAAGAAATTTGCTTTGGGGTATAATGGTACATACATGAACAC